TCTTATTAGAAAACTTACTTTTTTTTTTTTTTTATATTTTATATTTTTTATTTATTTTAATATTTATGTTTCTTTATTAATTCTTCAATTTCTTTTTTGTTACAAATATTTAATTCTTATGAATTTCAGCTTATTCTATTTAGCATATTTTTCTTTTTCTTTTATTGAAAAAATAAAAAAAAAAAAATGTCTATATTAATAAGACATTCTTTTTAATATTAATCATCAAATAAAAAAATAAAAATATATATTTAAAAATATGATAATTCATCTTAAAATTTTTTTTTTTAAAGTAAAAGTTAAAATATTATGAAAAATATACTTAATAGCAATAAACAAAAATGAAACATAACAAAAAAAAAAAAAAAAAAATAAAAAATAAAGTATTTACATCATTCTACAACATTGTTTTTTTTTGAGTTTTTTACTTTGTTTAAATAATTGTTTAGTAGAAGCTAAAAAAAAAAAAAAAAAAAAAATAATATTTTCTAAATACTTAGAAATAGAATGATAAATATAATAATAATCAAAATAAACACCTAGAAAAATAAGTATAATATTAATTAAATGAATTAGAAAATATATAATGATATAAAAAAATTACTCGATAAATCTTTGCTTTTATCAACAAGGACATCCAAATTCTCTCTATTTTTTATAAGGGAATCCATAGATACTCTAACTTTTTCCTTAAAAAAAAAAAGAAGAAATTAAAGAATAACTTATATGAAACATTAAAAACATAATTTAGTTTTTCTTTTTATTAGATTATAAAGTATAAAAAATATTAATAAAATAATTCATAAATAGTTAAGATATCATAATATTACTATGTTTTCATTAATTTTTATATTAGTTTGAGTTATAGCATCACAGTTTAAAGGGTCCTAAAATAAATAAATATGTATTCACATATATATATTTATGCTGTTAATATATTATTTTTTTCTTTTTAGAATTTTATATTATATACCTTATATTTTTCTAAATATGTATTTAGATTAAAAGTAATTTTATTGTCTTGCTTAATTTCCATCCATTCATTTTTAGGTATAGTATTTATGAAATCTCTATATATTTCATTAATCATATAGAAAGCTATCCTATTAAAAAAAAAAAAAAAAAAAGGAAGAGACATATATTTTTATATTGCAAATCAAAAAAAAAATAAAGTTACATGCATAAGAATAAAAATATATAAGATTGTGAATGAAAATACTAGAAAAAAAAAAAAAAAAAAAGGATTAAAATACCTTTCAGGGTAATTATCTGATGTTATTACTATTGGACAAATATTATCAAAATATTTAAATGCAAAAACAGTATTATTTTCATGAGTTATAATTTCTTTTGTATTATATTCTATCTAATTAATAAAAAAATAAAATAAAAAGAAATTTAAAAAAAAAAAAAAAAAAAGATAAATCATTTATACAAACCCTAGATGGAATAGTTCTAGCTACAAAAAAAGCTCCTTCTTTAAATGTCTTTCTTTTAATAAATGAATAACTACAAAATATAAAATTAATAATATATACTTATAATGAAACATTATTTTAATATAACTATTTAAAGATTTTAAGTAAATGTGGTGTAATAATAAATTTCTGCTTTAAAAGTACTATTTTAGGTCTTTTAGTTTTTTAATTATATTTTATTTTTTTTTCTAACGAGTTTAAATCTGTTGCATTACAAAGGAAAATAACATCATCTACATGTTTGGTTAAAATAATTGCTAACAATTTCATTTTTATTTAATAAATATCGTAAAAGTATTTTCTTATGGATAGTATAAATTATTAGTAGGTAGAATAAATGTAATGAAAGTATAAATTTTATATGATTTCTAAAAGATGAAAATTCATTTACATACTTCTAATTGTAAATTCAAATACACACACAAAAAAAAAAAAAAAATAAAATAAAAAATAACAATAAAATAATAGAATTCATATAATTTTAAAAAGATATCAAAAATGTTATGAAAAAGAAATAAATAAAATATATATGTTAGAATAAGTTAAAAAAGAAAAAAAAATTACATATACATTTTTTAATTTTATCAAGCACAAAATGTTAATTATATTTAAAGCACTATTTTAGAGCTTATTTAAAAATATTCAAAATTTCAATTAATAAAAAAGGTTAAAAATTTAACTAAAAAATGTATAGTATATATTATTATCACAAAAAAAAAAAAAAAAATAAAATAAAATAAATAGCAATAAAAAAAAAATAACACTTTAAATAAAACTAACAAAGATATCTTTATTAAAATTTTTCTTATCTATTATATAAATTTTTTATAATGAATTATAAAATTTTAGTTTCTAAATATATTTTTTCTATTTCTTTTATTTGTAAGTTTATATATAATATGATATTTTTGCACAATTTTACAATTTTTTTTTCTTTTTTTAAGAAAAAATTTTTTTTCTAATAAAAAATTTTTTTTATATGTTTAAAGATTAATTTCTAAATTTGAAAAAACAATTTTTAATATTTTTTTTTTTTTTAATACTCATGAAATAATATTTTAGTAATAGCTTATTTCTTCTATGAAGTTTAAAATTTTTTTGAAAATTTCTAAGATGAAAAATTTAATTATTTTTATTTAAAATTAATGTAAATTTTATCATATGATAAAATAAAATTACAAGTATTATTTTAGGTGATTTAATTTTAGTTTTTTTTTTGTTTTTTTGTTTTTTGTTTTTTGTTTTTTGTTTTATTTTTTTGTTTTTTTATTTCTTTATTATTTTTTTATAGAAATATAATGAAATAATATAAAAGTTTTAATTGAACGAAATTTTTTTTTCTTTAAATTGTTCATATATTAAGGATGAACATTGAATATGGTGGATCGAGAAGTTTTGAAAAGTATATTGGAAATAAAGAAGAGAAAATTCCTTTATCTTATAATAAAAAATACGATGTAGAAATAAAAGAAAGTTCTGAAAATTTAAAAAATGGGCCATTATTATTTATGAATTGTAATTTTTATATTGATGATTTAGTAAGCTTATATTCTCTTTTTAATTCAAATGAAGATGTTAGTATTCCAAACACAGTACTTCATAATGAAGAAAGTTATATGAGTAGTACTAATAGAACTACAAGCTACTATACTATGAATTGTTCAATTAAATCAGAATTTTCCTACGATAACACATATAATGACTTAAATATGATTGAAAGAGAAATGAATAAAACACCAAAAAAAAGTGAATCTTATATGAATGATGAATTAAATACAACCAACACTTTTGATACTTTTATAGAAAGCTATCAAAATATTTCTACTTGTAAACCAAGTATATATAATTCCTACATTAATAAAAAAGAAAAGTTAGAAATATTAATATTGCAAAATGGAGGAATAATACATAATACACTGACAAGTGAAGTGACTCATATAATTAGTAATAATATGGCATTAGGATCAAAAAAATATTTAGACTACAAAAAAGCAATTAAAAAATCAAAAATTTTTATAGTAATAGATAAATATATATTTGATTGTGTTATTTCTAAAGTTCGTTTACCTGAACAACTTTATTTACCACGAGCATTACGCTATAATTGTCATCAAATAACTGAATATTTTTCATTTAAAAAAAGGAAAAAAATAAATAATCAAAATAATAAATCTTCTTTAAACTGTTCCTCGAATAACAATAGCATAACTGACACCAATATTAAGGAGGCATCGGATAGTGTCTATAATAATGAAAATTATATTTCGAATAATATAAACAATATTAATAATGATAATGTAAATGATAAAGTTACTATTTGTAATAATTTAGATAACAATAGTTCTAGTAATTTAAAAGAAAATTCTATTACACAAAATAATAATATAATTACTATCAGAAAGGAAGATAAAAATGTAGAAATCTGTTATACTCAGGATAGGCAAATGGCCATATTAAATATGCAAATGGATTATAAAAATTTAAAAAAATATATAATATGTAATCCATATGAATATTTTAAAAAGTTATACAACTTTTATATAGACAAAGAGTTGAAAGAAACAATTTTTTCCAAAGAATCTAATTTGTATATAAATGAAAAAAATTTTGACGAATTTTCAAGAAAATATAGATTATTAAATCATTTAAGTGAAAATGAAATTAAATGGATTAAAGAAAAAAGCAAACTAAATATAAACATAAAAAATGTATGGGAAAATGACATAATTCATTTTTTTTTTGATGTTGTTTTAAAAAAAAAGAAAAGTTATGAAAATAAAAACATGATATCAGTCTTCAACAAACATAAAATGGAAAAAAATGATGAAAACAAATTTATAGAAAAAGAAAATGAAGAAATAAAAAAATATAAAAAAAGTAATTCTAATGATGAAGAAAATGAAAATAATGCATCAAATAAATTAATAGATAGTATTAGTTGCTATTTATATAATTCAAGATTATATATATTAGGAAATTGGAATTATATAACTAAAGAATTTTTCAATTTTGAAGAAATAAAAAAAAGTGAGAATAGAAAATTTGTTTATCTATATATCGATTTTGATGATTATTTTTTAAATGCAAGTATAAAAAATAATAATTCAATAAATTATCAAAAAAATGCAAATAGTGAAATTTTATGTGTATGTCATAGTTTAAAAAAAGAAGAAAGTTATGGGGTAATAAGTTCAACTAATTATTGGGCAAAAAAAAATAAAATTTATAAAGGTATGTTAAAAGGAGAGGCAACCAAATTACATAAAAATATTAATTTTATAAAATATGATTTTAGTAATATATTAAAATGCAGTTACTTGTTTTTATTAGTATTAATAAATTATTCAAAAAATGTTAAAGTTATGTCAGTAGATGAATCGATAGTTCAATTATTTTATGAAAAAGAAGAAGAAATTTTTTATATTGCCAAAAGAATTTCTGATGATATTTATGATTTAACTAAATTAAATGTATCCATAGGAATTTCGAGTAATTTAAATTTATCAAAGAAAGCTTTAAAATTTTGTAAAAAACGTTTTTTATTTTTCGATTTTTATCATCATTTTAATATATTTATAAGAAAATATATTGATATGAAAAAAGAGAAAAAAACAGAAGAAAATTTCGAATGTAATTCCGTAGAAAAAACCTTTTTAGTAAATAACGTAATAGATAAAAATATAAGTAGTAAACAAAAAATAGGAATAGAACATAATATGAAACCTTTGCTAACTACAAAAATAGAAAAAAATGAAGAAGCAAATAGGAACAATGATGAATATACAAATATGTTGAATAATATGGATATTGAAAATTTATTCAACGAATATCTTATTTTTGAAAAAAAAAGAAACGAATCATTAGAAGATATAAATAAAGAAAATATTCATAACAAAGATAATGAAAATAATTATTTTTTAAATATTATGAAAGAAAAAAGAGAAAAAAATGTTGAATTTATTTTTGATAAATTTATGCAAATAAATAAAAGAAACATAGAATACATTACAAATACATTTTTTGAAAAAGTAAAACATCCAGTAAGTAAACATTTCTTTTTTTATAAAAAAAATGATTATTATTTAAATATTTTAAAAAAATTTAATTATTTAAATGGAAAATTTATTAATTTTAATATCTATTACTATTCACCTGATACAATTTCAGATAATATAGTTGAAGATCACAAAAATAAAAAAGGATTAGAAAATTTAGATGAAAAAAAGAGAATAAACATTAGTGTTAATTATGGCATAAGGTTTCAAAAAATAAATGATTTTTATTATCTTATATATTTTATGACAAAACAATTATATTTACGATTAAAAATAAAAAATTTAAAAGCAAAAAGTTTAAGTGTGAATTTTTTTATGAAAGATGAAAATGAAAATATAAACCCTCGTAAATACTTAGGCAGAGGTAGAGTTATTAAGATAAATAGTAAAATTAAGTTAAGTCATTATACAGATTTTTTTTTTATATATTTTTTTAAAGTTATATATAATTTTAGTTTTCTTATGAATGATTTAAGCGAATTAAGAGGTGTTCAAATTATTTGTTCGGATATTGTGAACGATAGACATAATATAAATAAAAAAAGTATCTTATATTATTTTGATGTGAAAAATACAAATTGTAAAGTAAAAGAACAATCAAATAGTGTAAAAAGTAAAGAAAATATAAATTCATTGAAAACAATAGAAAAGAAAAAAGAGGAAAATAATAAAATTATTTCAGAAATGCATAAAAAAGAAAAGGACCTACTGAAAACAACTAAAGAAAAAAAAAGAAAAACAGGAAAGAAAGCTAATCAATATAATACTATTAAAAGAAAAAATAAAAAAAATAAAATAACAGCGAACAAAAAGATAGGAAATAATAAAGAAAAAAAGAATACAAACATTGATTCAAGTAAAAATGAAAAAGATTATTTTAGTTATATTAAAGATAAAAAAAGTATTTTAAGATATTTTACAAACAGTTTAGGAAAAATAAATATAAGAAATAAATTAATAAATAAACCAATTTATTTTTCTTCCGAAAAATATAAAAAAAGAAATTTTAAAAATAACTTTAGTCTAAACAAAAATACTACTACTATACCAAAAAAAATGAAAATTACAAATAATTATAAAATTTTTGATTTTTTTCCAAATATTTTAAAGAAAAAAAAAATAAATAACATTTATTCTAACGAAATGAAAAAATCATTGAATGAAAAGAATTTAATTGTGAAAACAAACATATTTGATAGCATAATTAATAAGAGAATAAAAATAGAAAATAATGTCAAAGAAATAGGATGTTGTTATATGTGTTATAAAGAAATACGTGAAACTGTAAAAGAAAAACAAAACATGCATAATGATGTTAATTGTAAAGAAAAATGTGCAGATAATATATTTTGTTATACTTATGTTAGTAATTATTTAAATTCAATTAATCAAAGAAATGAAAAATTCAATTTTTATATATATATAAAAAAAATTCTTTTTTCTTACATTTTTTATTTTAACGGTATATTTGAAAATCATAATTGTAGTAAAAAATTAAGAGATCAATATTATTTACAGAAATTTATTTTAAATGTTTTAGATAATTTATGTGAAACGCTTCATAATAAAAGATCTATTGATGTTTTACACAATTTTTTAAAAACATTCAAATATATTTGGTGTTTAAATAAAAGCTCTTTTCCTCCTTTATTTCAAAATATGCTGATAAAATATAATATTTATTAAATTAATTTTTACAAAATTATTTATTTTTTTTTTTTTTTATTATTAAACTTATGTATTAATATATTTTTATTCCTTATTATCTTCATTAATTTTCCGTATTTTTTTTTGCAATTTTTAAAATTTTTATATTCTTGTTTTGCTTAATATTAAAATCTTCTATATGTAACTGAAATTATACTTGTTTGTTTTATTAAAAAAAATAATTTATTAAAATTCAAAACGATAAGTATTTTTATTATTTTAAAAAAAAAAAAAAATATATATATATATACACATACATATCTTAATAAATATGTGAAATTATATATTAGGAAAAATTAATGCTACATCCCGTATGTTTTAAATAAAAAAAGAAAAAAAAAAGTCTAATATTAACTTATGTTTAGGTGCAGATATATATTTAAAAAAAATTTTTAAAAAGTTTTTTTTTTTCATTATCTTTTTAAATAAAATTTTAATTTGGATATTCAACTAAATTATGAATAGTAAATGAAAATATATATAATTTTAATTTTTTTAATTATTATATTGCAATTTAAAAACAATAAGTTTTATTAATTTCGTGTAACAAAATTGCATTTCTTTGATCTTTTTTTCTTTTGTCATGTTACTTTTCCTTACTAAATATAATTTATTTTTTCATTCTTATTATTCTTTTTTTTTTTTTTTTTTTCTTCATACATACAATTTTTTTCCTATTGAAAATTAAACTTAATATATTATTTACACTTTATTTTATTTACCTTCATTCATTTCTTCATTTTTTAATTTTTATATTTTATTCTTCATTTTTATTGAGTTATGTTGTTTTTCTATTTATAATTTCCATCATCATAATTCATTTATATAGTTATTTTTATTTTTATTTTTATTTTTTTGTTATTTTTTCCTTTTTTTTTTTTTTTAAGAATGAGAATATGTAAACAAGTAGATCCAGTTATTGATATAGTTATAGTAGGTTTTGGTAATAAGAGTAAATTGTTTATTGATTTATTTTTACAAAAAAATGAATTAAAGGGTGTTAATATAATTGTAATAAGTAAAGATAATTTTGCATTTTTAAATAAATATGTACAATGTGTTGAATTATGCATAGATAATTATATTGACATATATAAATATTGTAAAGAAAGAAATATACTTTTTATTAATGAAAAAGTTAAAAATGTTGATTCATTTAAGAAAACCATATATTTTACTTCTGATCGTAATCATTTGAAGTATGATTTTTTATTATGTGATTTTGATTATAAAAGTTCCTTTTTATTAAACAGTGACTATGCTCATATGAATATATATCCATTCAAAAATAAAAATTTATTTTTTTATTATACTCATATCATATATTTATCTTTAATAAAATCTCAAAAAAATAAAATAACTGATATTGATTTATACTATAAATGGAAAAGTATCTTTTTAGAAAATATAGCTGTTGAAAAATTTTATAATTTTTATTCATATAATGATAAATATGTAGATTTAATTTTTGATATATATAAATTCGTTGATCAAAGTTTGAGTAACCAAAAAAGTAATCAAATAGAAAATAATATTTTTACTCTCTTAAAAAAAAATTCGTTGATTGATGATTTTAAAAAGAATGAAGAAACGAATATTTTAGAAAAAGAAAATTTTAGGAAAAATAATTGTTTTAATTTAATATTGATAAGTGATAATAATGATTTAGGACAAGAACTATACTACGAAATTTTTCAAATTTTAAATAAAATATGTTTATCTTCAAAAATTGTATATGTTTATATAACTGATTTAGATATAAAAGAAATTAACTTTTGTGAGAATTATTTAATTATTAAGAAGGTAATAGAAATTAAAAAAGTAAACAACGAAAAAATAATAAATTGCATGAATAAAAACGGAGACATTATTACAATTACCTATGATGAATGTATTAATATAACTGATTTACATTATCCATCCTATTTTTATAAATCTAATTATAAAATAGAAAATAATACTTCCATTAATAAGTTCTGTCAATATGAAAATAATGATAGTTTATATTTTTTAAATCAGATAAAGAACTATGATGATTTTACAATATGCCAAACTATATATTTAAATATATATAATAATATCCATAAAAATAAATATATAAGTATTGAAGATGTAAAAAAAAAAAACATTAATATAAAAAATTGTTGTAATTTAAACAATTCTCCTTTAACAAAAGTATTCAATGATTTATCAAATTATTTTTACAATAAAATAATGGATATTATAAAAGTGTCCTTTCAATATATATGCGACAATAAATTTATAGAAGAAAAAATACAGTTGTTAAATAATAGAAGAAAGAATCTAGAATGTTATGAAAGTGATAATAAAATAAAGAAATATAAAAAATTTCCTGTTTATATATTCATAAACATAATTTTATATTTTTATAATAAAGTTTTATTTTATTTTTTTTTTTTAAAAAACAAATTTATTGGGAAAAAAGAGCAAAAAAATAGTTTTGAAAAAAATAAAAACAATACAAATAATAGTAACACATATGAATTACCAAAATATATGTATGACTTATATAAAGTTGAATATGAAAATAGATTAATTATTAAAAAGAAAACTACATATGAAATCATTAAAAATAAAAATACAGATGATAGTTCAGATAAAAACACAATAATTGTAAATAATAATATAGAAAATAAAAATGTAATGGATGAATTAAATACTAAAAAAGTAAATTTGCATATAAAAGAAAGTATCCATAAAATAATTAATAGAAATACATGTGGAGGATGTGGATCAAAAGTTCCCTCAAATGTTCTGTTCAATTCTTTGAAATCTTTAGATATTTTTAATTCATTGAATGTTTATTTGGGAGTAGAAGGATGTGATGACTGTTGTATATTTGTTCACAGTAAATCCAAAAAAGGAGAAAACAGTCCAGCTCTCGTTCAAACGATTGATTTTTTTAAATCATTTATAGATGATGAATATATATTAGGAGAAATAATTGCTATACATTGTTTATCTGATATATATAGTATGGGAGGAACAGGAATTTGTGCTCTGTGCGTTTTAATTGTAAAGGATAATATCGAAAAAAAGCTACAACAAAGACTTGAAAATATTTTAACAGGATGTTCTCAAAAATTAAAAGAGGAAAAATGTGTATTAAGTGGAGGACATACATGTGCAGGGAATGATAATTATGTTGGTTTAGCGGTTACAGGAAAAATAAAAAAAAATATGAATAAAATAAATGATGATGCTGATTATATTGAGAATAGAAATGAAAAAAATCAAAGAAAAAACAGCAAAGATCATGATACAAATGATGATATAAATAATGATGAAGATATGTATGATTTAAATGAGAACTTCAATACATTTAAAAAACATAAAATGTTAAAAAACAATTATTTGTTTTTACCAAAAGGAAATAGAAATATAAAAAGTGGAGATATTATAATTACAACTAAAATGTTTGGGTTTGGATTTATTATGGCTGCACATATAATTAAAAAGGCAAAAGCTAGATGGATTTATAACTGCCTTGACGAAATGTTAATATCAAATAGGAATAGTGGATTATATTTTTTAAAGAATAATGTAAAAGCATGTACAGATGTAACTGGATATGGTATATTGGGGCATTTAAATGAGATGATTAAATGTTCAAGAAAAGAAATTTATTTATATAATAAAATATACAATAAAATGAACACAGATTCATCTAATGACTCAATATCAAATAAAAATGGAGAATATCAAGTAAATAATAAATTTAAGGAAGCAGATAAAAATAACATGCATATAAATTTTATTGGTGCAAAAATAAATTTAAATAATATAATTATAGCTGAAGGAGTAAAGGAGTGTATTGAAAACAATATATATTCTTCTATGTTTAAAAAAAATCATTATTTATGTAATAACATTATAAATTTAGATGAAGCTTTATTAAATAATAAATATGGAATTTTATTTGATCCTCAAACAAGTGGAGGTTTAATGGCCATTGTTGAAAGAGAATGTGCTCATCAAATTATACAAGATTTAAAAAATTTAGGTTATAAAAATTCTTCGATTATAGGAGAAATAATAAATGTGCAATATGAAAAGTTAAAAAATATTTCTCTAAATGAAATATCATTAAATGATTATTTAGATACAACCAATTCTATATATATTGAATGCTAAAAAGAAAATTAATTTAAATAATTAAAAATAAAAATTTTTATTCCTATGTTTACTCATATTTATCACTAATATTGTTACTTTTTAACTTTTTATTGTATAATTAATGCTTGTCTATTTATTATCATTTTATACTTTATTTTAATTAATAATAAATATTTGTGTTTTCATTAATTGGAATAAACATTTTTTGAATATATATAACTTGCTAATTTCATGTTTTATTATCAAAAGAAATATTTCATATGAAAAAAATTTAACTAAAAAAAAAAAAAAAAAAAAAAAATGCACATTATAAATAAACAAAAAATTTATGTTATCATTTAAAATTTTTAAAATATTCATATACTAAAAATTAAACAACTGGAAATATTTGTATGAATTAAAAAAAGAAAGTAGAAGACTATCAATTATAAAAAGAAATAATTAGAAAAACATATAAATATATATTATATAAAATTTATAAATTTAGTAATTATTCCTAAGATATTATTATTATTTTTTTTTTTTTTTTTTAATATAATCATAATAAAATATACATGAAAAATAAAGATAATATAATAGATAAAAAGCTAAAATTTATAATATTATAATAGATAAATTTCACTTTGTAAATCACTCAAAAATAAAATAATATTTTAATAGAAACTTGATAAAAATGATTTGAGTCGTAATATATCAATTTTTTCTGTAGTAATTGATAATTGAAAATATAATTTTTTAATTAAATTGATTCATACTGATCTAAATTTAACTCTTTTTTCAATTTTTCTTCAATTTCATCTTTCCTATTTAAAAGTTGCAATTTTTTCATTTTAATTTTTAATATATTCATTTTGACAAGAACGCATAAATATGTTAAGGAAAAGATTAATGGAAGAAATACAATAACAAAAATAATTAAAAAAATTAGAATTACAGAATCAGTTGTATTCATATAAAAATGTATATTTTTTAATTCCATTCCTTCAAAATCATTTTCATCTGAATATAAGCAAATTAAATAATTTTCATTAGTTTGTAAATCATCATTTTTTATAAACGGAATATAATATTTATTTGGAATATTATTTGAAAAATTATATTCAACATATTCATATGATGAAATATTTTTGTCTTTTTTTTTTATTTTATTTAATGCTCCTGATCCTAAGATCCCATAATCCCAAAAAGGTGCACATTTTTTATTCTTATTATCTTCTCTTGGAAAACTGATGAATACTACTCGATTATATATAGTTATATAATCACCATTAATAAACAAATTGTAGTCCCAATTAGATGTTAAAAAAGATTTTGTATATATCACATCATAATCATCCATGTTTTTTTGAATATTCAATGGATAGGCGTTAAATATAACCTTCCCTAAATATAAAGGAGATTCATTATATGATTTATAGCACAAATGTAAATCTAAATTAGGTTTTTGTTCTTTCGATTTCTTTTTATCATTAGTAAAATATTTTGAATAATTATCAGAGTTAATAACTACAGGTATATTATATAAAGAAAACAATTTTTCAATATTTATTTGTGATATTTCTATGTATAAAAAAAGATTTATTATGGAAAAATTATTTTCAATATAACATTCACTTAACGCAGTCGGAGAATCAAATATATCTTTGGGACATTTTAATTCTTCATTGCTTAATAATTGATTTTTTTGTATGAATGCTATACATATCATTTTTATTTTATCTTTCGGATATTCTGACCAATCCCCTTTTATTTTCAAAAAATTCTTCTTTTTTGGTAGATATAAAATTTTATCTTCTTTCTCATTTTCTTCTATCTTAACAGATATTATAATATCTTGCAATATTGGTTTTCCTACATGCTTATATAAATACTTTTTATCAATTTTATTATAAGATTCATAATACTTTATTTTTGTTAAATCTTGAGGATATTTTATTTTCTCAAAATTTTCATTAAAACAAAAATAAAATAAATTAAGATAGAATATTACTTTATAAAGGAAAAAAGAAAAGAAAAACATACTAAATAACTATTATCATTAGATTACCTTATAAATAAAAATAATAACAAAATCAAACAAAAGAAAAAAAAAATTAATAAAGATTAAAGTAAAAATAAGAATTAAAATAACAATTAAAATAAAAATAAAGTATAAATCATAACATATAAATACTAAACATAAAAAAAATAAATATTTTTATTTTAAATAATAGGTAATCATATAATAAATTTAAAATTTATATTTTTTCCTTGTAAAAATTTTTATAAAAAATATAATATAGCATTTCACTATTTCTTGTAGCATAATTTTTCTTGATTTTAATTTAAAAAAAAAAAAAAAAAAAAAAAAAGGAAAAATAAAAATAAAAATAAAGCAATTAAAACATATTAACATTATTTCAATTATATATATTTTTTTTTATTACTATGCTGTAGTATTACATATTATTTTTTTTATTTTATATTTAGAATTTATGTGTTTTATAATTTTTTATTAGGTAAACTTTTATAAAAATTATGAATTTGTCATAATAATAAAATTTAGATATTTATAAAAGCAAGTTTTTAATTTTAGACAAAATAATAAAAATTTTATAGAATAACTTAAAATAGGAGATATAATAATTTTAACTTAAATTTTTTTTTGAAAATTCTCCTTTTAAAAAATATATATAAATAAACCCAAGTATAAATGTGATATATTGCATCTTTAAAATTTTAAGAAATATTATTTTGTAAAAGAATATATTACAAGATATTTTTATATATTTTAAACTCATTTATCTAATTTATTTTTTGTATAATCAAACATATTGACAACAATTAAGTTGAAATAATAATTAAAGGTTAAATATATATTTTTCCTTTTTTCACATAAACTTATGTTTGAAAATAATATTTATCTAAATTTTTTTTTAATAAAATATTTATAATTTTATTATTTATTTTTTAAAACTTTAAAAAAAAAAAAAATGAAATTTTATATATTTTTTTTTTTATCTTCAAAGAATATGTATATAAGGAAAATATAGTCTACAAAAAAAAAAAAAAAAAAAAAAAAAAAAAAGGTAGTAGATAGAAAAATATTATAAATGTATATATGAAAAAAAGAATGGAAATATATATACATTAAATATAGAACATTTACTTAATTTTGAAAATATAGTGTTAATATTAAAAACTTTTAATATTAATTGTAGTATTTTTTTTTCTATATACATCTAAATATATATAAAAAGTTTATTTACATAACATATATATATATAATGATGATTAACATTAAAATGAACAATTGACAAAAAAAAAAAAAAAAATATCTTTAAAAAAATTTTGACAAAATTTTATATAAAATTCTTATAAACAAATATTTATAACTATTTTTTAATTAAATATCTTAATATCATAGTAATTATATGTCTTGTATTATTTTATAATAACTGTTCTTCATGTTTATATTAACATTTCTTAAAAATGTCAAAAAGTCTAACCCATGGAATTTTTCAAATTTATATATATATAACTTTATAATATTATTTATTATATATGAAAGTAAAACATTTTGTACTAATAAAAATTTTTATCTTAAGTTTTATTAAAAAAATTAAAACCGTTTCTAATAACATTTTCGTTATTAGTGTTATTACTTTTTCTATTCTCTATTCGAAGTATTAAAAATCTTATAAATGTATGGTGTTAAAAAAAAATTAGAATGTTTCAACTATTTTATTTTATAAATTATTTTGAAATTTTAATAGTAACACATATTATTATTTTGATTATTTTTCTTAATAATGAAAATTTAATTTAGTTCTGTATATTTTTTTTTATTAAATTTTGCAAAAATCATTTTCCATATATACACTTATTATATTTTTTATTACATTCTTGTAAAATGATGCTATTGAAAATAGGAGAGAATTTTTTAATAAAGTTATTATTCTTTAAATTTTCGTAATTTTCACCCTTTTTTATATCTATTATAATCAAAGGGATTATTCTTTATCATTAAGAAAATTTTTAAAAATACATTTTTTTTCATTTTTTGAGTGGCGTAATACATACAAAATATTCTTATCATCCATTATATTCGTATCTGGCATAAAAATTTGAAACACTTTTAAAAAATCTTGCTCATAGGTAGTTAGGCCAATGGATAAGCATTCACAATACATATTTAATGAATCTTTTCTTAATTTATATTCATCTAGTGATAATAAATCAAAACTATTATTACATTTTATGTCATAATTACCTACAGCATTTATTTCATTTAGCAAAAATTTATGATGCAATAACTCAGATAATAATTTTAAATCTTCTTTGGTTAGCTTTTTATTTTTTTTTATTTTCCTTTTTATTTTTTCTATTCTCTTTTTTCTTTTCTTCCCTAAAAGTTTATATTTTATATTTTCTTCGAAATCACAATAATCATGAATATACTGATTATTTTCATTCAACATATCTTTTAAAAAAATATTTTTTCCTTTTTTATTTCCGTAATTATTATATACAATTTTATTTAATTCTTCATTTTCCATACTATAATTATCTTCATAATTATCATTTTTAAAATTTTTATTTTTGATATCTTGTTTATAAATATATTTTTCTATTTCATATTCATTTTTTTTGGAGTTTTCTATATATGTTTCTTTATTTTCGTATTCATATTCCTTGCCAATTTTATCATAATATTTTTCGTCAATGTAATAATTTTCATTAATGATATTTCTAGCATATGTATTTCTATTTTTTGTATTATATATATTTTCTACCATTTTCTTCTTTCCTATTTGTTCTTTCTTATTTTCTAATTTTGATTCTCCTTTTATTTGATATTGTCCTTCTTCGTCAATTTCTATTATTATTTCTTCATTTATTTTACCTAATTCTTCTTGATACTCTTTCTCATTCTCTTCCTCTTCATCAATCTTTATTATTTCTTTCTCTTTGTATTCTTCTTTATATCCCTCTTTTTTTTTTTCATTTTTTAATTCTTCTCCTCTTTTATCTTCAAATTCTTGTTTTTCTTGTTTACCTCCATAATTTTCTTCTTCATCCTCTTCTTCATCCTCTTCTTCTTCTTCTTCTTCTTCTTCTTCATCCTCTTCTTCATCCTCTTCTTCTTCATCCTCTTCTTCTTCTTCTTCTTCTTCTTCATCCTCTTCTTCTTCATCCTCTTCTTCTTCTTCATCCTCTTCTTCTTCCCCTTCCTCTTCCTCTTCTTCTTCCTCTTCTTCTTCTCTTTCTTCTCTTTTTACTATTTGTTCTCTTTTTACTATTTGTTCTCTTTTTACTATTTGTTCTCTTTTTACTCTTTCTTCTCTTTCTTCTTCTTCTCTTGCTTCTTCTTCTATTTCTTCTTCTTCTTCTTCTTTTTCTTTTTCTTCTTTTTCTTCTTCTTTTTCTTCTTCTTCTTCTTTTTCTTCTTCTTCTTCTTCTTCCTCTTCTATTTCTTCTTCTTCTTCCTCTTCTATTTCTTCTTCTTCTTCTTCCTCTTCTATTTCTTCTTCTTCTTCTTCCTCTTCTATTTCTTCTTCTTCTTCTATTTCTTCTTCTTCCTCTTCCTCTTCTTCCTCTTCCTCTTCTTCCTCTTCTTCTTCCTCTTCTTCTTCCTCTTCCTCTTCTTCCTCTTCTTCTTCTTCCTCTTCTTCTTCTTCCTCTTCCTCTTCTATTTCTTCTTTTATTTTTCCTTCTTCCTCATCTTCTTCCTTTTTGTATTTTTTCTGTTCCATTTCTACTACTTCTTCATTCGTTTTATCCCAGTTTTGATTTTTTTTATATTTTCGTTCTTCAATTTCTATTATTTCTTCATTTGATTGTTCTTCATAATCTCCGTTTTCTTTTCCTCTAAGTTCTTTTCCATAATATTCTTCTGATTCTCTAAATCCATCTTGTTCTTCTTCAATTTCTATTATTTCCTCATTCAAGTGTCTTTCTTCTTCCTCTTCATAATCTTCGTCATCATCTTCGTCGCCATAATCACAATCATATGTCCCTTCATCATTATTTCTACTTACATCTGTATATTCTTCATTATATTTTTTAAATTTATTTTCTAGATTTTTCTCTTTCCCATTTTCTTGTTCTTCAATTTTTGTTACTTTTGTTTCTTTATTTACTTCTCTTTTATCATAATATCTTTGCTCGTTTTTTTTTTTTTCTATTTCTTCCATCTTATTTTTTTCGTTTTCAGAAATGTTTGTAATAGATTCATCTATTACATAAACAATTTTTCCATCTATTATTTCCATTTTTTCTTTAAATTCTTTATTAAATCTTTTTTTTTTTCCTTTTTTATTCAGAATTATTTTTGTTTTTTTTTTCTGATCTCTTTCAAAGTTATTTAATTTTCTTTTTATTATAGGTGTTTTATCATTAAAATAATTGACTTCATTTTTATATTTTTCTTTTACTTTTTTGTATTTCCCCTCTTCAATACATTTTGCTTCAAAAATGTTTTTTTTACTTATATGACTTTCTTTTCCTCCCTTTTCTTCTATATAAAGTTGATCACTACGCAAATAGTAAGTATCTTTTTTTTTCTCATTTGTTTTATTTAACTCCTCTTTAGAATAATTATGAACAGTGTTTTTACCATCACAATTAAAGAGTTTTTTATTTTTATTTTTTTTTTTTTTAAATATTTCTACAAAATATATATTTTTGGAATGTTTCTCAATTAAAAAATTTTTAATGTATTCTTTATTCTCAGATGAATGAATTTTTTCTTCATGTAAATAGTTTACACACATTTTCGTATTATATATATTGTAAGTTGATTTATCTGAGTATAAATCATATATATAGGAATTTATTTTTTTTTTAATTTCATCTTCATCATCATTTTCACTTTCATTTTCATTTTCTCTTCTACTTAACTTTTCCATTATGCAATTAATTGTATATTTTCTTCTTTCTAATTCTAATATATTACTAATTATACCTTCATCCTTATTTTCCAATTCTATTGTCCCTGTTATTATATTTGCATCATCCTTAATTTTTTCAAATTCAATTTTGTTATATATATCACTTTCGTTTTCGCTATCATTCATTTTCTCTAAATTAATTTTCTTACAAATTATATTTTCAATTTCATTTATTTTTTCAAGTTCACTTTTATTACATAAAACGTCTTCATTAATATTGTCATTTTTATTTCTTTTTTCTGATATTTTTTTATTTGGAATTACATTTTCAGCTTCATTTTTTTTTTCTAATTCACTTTGATTAAAAATATTATATTCACAAATGATTTCATTTTTTTTCTCCTTCTTTGCATTTTCATGTTTGTTAGAAAATTCTAATGTATTCATAAAAATATCTTCTCTTATTTTATCTGTAGTGAATTTATCATTATTAGTACTAACACGCTCTCTATCTAAATCTATTATACTATTATTATTATTATTAGTCGTCTCATTCTTTTTTTCTAATTCTGCGTCATTATATATTACATATTTATTTTCATAAACTTTATCTACATCTATTATGTAATTAATAATTTTTTCTTTTTTTTTTTCTGAAGATAATGTATTATTATTTATGTTTTCTTTTTCATTATATAAGTTTTTTATTGTATTTTTATTTTTTATATTTTCATTTTTGTTTTCTAGTTCTACCTCATTATAAATTACACAATTTTTTTCATATAAGTCATCTAAATCAATTATGTTATTAGTACTTTTTTTACTTCTATTTTCTAAATGTACTTTATTATAAATTATATATTTTATTTCATTTATTTTATCTAAATCAATTACATTATTAAAAAATTTTCCATGTTTTTTTTCTAATTCCATTTTATTTCTAACTCCTTTTTTACTTTCTTTTTGTATTAAATCATTTGTTTTATTTTGACTATTTAAATTCTTAATTTTATTAAATTTATCAATGTTATTTATATTAGGAAGAGAAACATACAAATTATTTTGAAAATTCGTGTTATTAATTGGCTGAAAACGCGCATTTGGTAAGGTGGTTCTAGAGTTAATTATTATTTTTCTTTCATCATTTGTTCCATTTATAATTTTTTTATTTATTTCATTTTTTCTGACTATTTCAATTTTTTCACTTACACTTAACTTATGTCTATGTTTCCAATTTGCATCATTAATTGTATCAATATAATTGGATTCATTTAATACATTTTTAAAATTATTTTTATCTCCTTCCTCTTTTTGATTACAATAATATATAATATTTTTATTTGAATTATCTTGCATATATTCATTAATACTTGATGTTACAAAGTTATCATTGAAACTTTTCATATTTTCGGATAAATTTCTTGTTATACTATCATTTGTTTCTTCTAATTTCACATTTATATAATTTCTATTTATTTTATTTTCATAACTTTCACTTCTTATGTTTTCTTCATTTTTAATAAAATTATTATTTGCTTTTTTATAAAATTTAAGGGTGTTTTCCTTGTTCATATTATGTATATTATTTAATGTTACGTTTTTATTATTTATAGCATTTAACAAATTTTCGTTTCTTTTTACTTCATCAGATAAATTCCCATTTATATTATTTTCATTATATTTAATATAAAAATTATTATTATTATTATTACAAAAATTAAAATTTTCTTTAAAATTTGCAATATTAAAGTGTTCATATCTTGAAATTGCAACTAATACATCATCATTTTCATTATCTTTAAATACGTTTTTTACTATTTTTGCCCGTTTAATGTTATTATTACTCAAGTTGTAACACAAACACTTTTTTTCGTTTATAATTTTCATATTTTTTTCCTTATTGTAATTAAACATTGATTTTTCATTATGAAACATTTTATAGTTGAAATTAACACACCTTTTATTAATTTTACACATTTCACCATATTGGTTTTTAAAAAATTGTTTTTTAATAGTCATTTTATTTACAAATGGATTATATCTCCTACTTTTACTATGCACATATTCCTTTGTATAATTAAAGTTATTATATCTATTTTTGTAAAATCTACTTAATCCTTTATTGAAGAAATAATTTTTCTTAAATGAATAATTAAAATTGTTAACTTTATTATTATTTACTTTACCAATGTTACTATCATAACATAATTTATTATAAAAATAATTTTTTTTTAAGTAAAAATTATCATTTTCTGTTATATTTTTATTCAATAAACAATTTTCTAGGAGAAAATTATTCGTCAAAGGTGAACCACTAATATTATCATTTAAGCAAATTTTTTTTTTTTTTTGTAATTTATGAACTGATGAATAATATGTTGGTGTATTTCCTTTTATACATGGAATATGGGAAGAATTGTTATTATTTACATAATTTTTATTAAAAAAATATTTTTGATTATTGATTAGTTTTTTGTCATTTATATAATCATTTATATAATAATTGTTTTTATTTGAAAGATTGTTGTTGAACCTCTTTTCTTCGTTTTCTGATTTCCTATTTAAGTTCATATATTTCTCCTTATTAGCCAAAATACTACAATTTTTTTGAATATTACTAATTTCAGAGTCATCGCATTTATCTTCATTTGTTTTATCTAAATCAGTAAAATATTGACGATTTATGCTTGAATTACTGTTCTTTTTATTTTCCTTAGAAATATTTTCATCATTTATTTTCTTCATATGTGGATAAACATTATTATTTATTAATGAATCACTTTTGAGATATTTATTACCTAATTCATATATACAATTATCTTCATTAATTGTGCAATTACCAAAATTTACATTTTCATCTAATATATTATTCATTAAATGAGGATACCTGTCTACTGTTTTCTTTAATTTAATATTATTGGGATTACTTTTCATATTATCACTATTAATTTTTGTGCTATCAAAATGGCCTTTCATTCCATATAGAGAATTACAAGAATTTATACATGTATCTGGTTTCGTAAAATTGAAAACAATATTATCATTCTGAATAGTTTTTTTTTTACAATTTGAATGTTCCTCATGGTTATTTGATATTCCTGATAACATCTTAGTGAAATAATTTTTTAATAAGAATTTTTCATAATAAAATACCTTTTCATCATAAAGATTTTTTTCAATATTTCTGTATCTATTTTTTTCATTTTCACAAATATTTTCCTCTTCAACATCTTGTTCCTTTTCTGAAGCTTCATCTGTTTTTTGTTCTATAGGATCTTCTTCTATATCTTTTTCTTTTCCTTTATCCTGATCAATTTCTCCGTCTTCATCTTCTCCTTTTCCATCATCCTTTTCTTTCTTCTCTACTTCATTTATATCATCTTTATCTTTATTACTTTCTGAGTTTCTTTCTTTTTTTTTTTTTTCATTTTCATTGTTCTCCTTTTTATTTTTATATAAATTAACATTTTCTCTTTTTTTCATGTGCTTAGTAATTCTAACTAAATCTGTATTATCAAAATTACGACTGTTTTCTGTTTTATAGTTTTCTTTTATGATTTTCTGATGTTTTTTTAAATTCTTATTTTTAGAAGATTTATTATCTTCTATACCGTTCAAATTATTAATACATCTATTGTTTCTATCATCTTCATTATTAAGTATTTTTTTATTATATTTTTTATTTTTTGCGTTACTTATACACTCTATAGAAGCAGAAGAATGTTCACTTGAGAAATACTCATTATCTAAAAATTTATCTCTATTTCCTTCATTATGTTTAAGTGGAGTATTATAAAATGACTTCAAAGATTTATAAAGGTTTTTAGTATAATCATAAAATTTTTCAGCTTCCTTAAATAACTCATTTTTCTTTGATATATTTTGATTTGAGGTAACTTTATTCTTATTTGATGATTTTTTATTTGTTGCTGACTTATCACAGGAACTTATACCATCATTAACATTTCTATTTGCATATTTTGAATAAAAAGATCCAAAAAAATTGAAATTACCTTTTGTTACTTCAGGTCTAGGAGAATTATACATAATTTTTAAATAAATGTTTTAAAAAAAAAAAAAAAAAAATTGCCAACAAAACAATACAGTTTTATATTTTTATTTTATTTCTTTTTTTATTTGTTTATAATAATTGTTTTTCATCATTTTTATTTGTTTTTTTTAATGGTATTTTTCATTTTAATTTACTAAAATATATGTATCATTATATAAGCAAATGTATTTCTAAAAATGTATTACAAATATATCGGTTTATTTACTTTTAGATTTGTATACAAAAAAACATCTTTATTTTAGAAACTATTTTAAATGCATACATATGTATATTTACAATATCATTTCATTTTTTTTCTTCTATAAATTCATAATTATGCAAATAAACACAAATATATAAATTTAATATTTTATTTCATAAATTTTATATATGCATCTTTTTATTACATCTGTTTTTTTTTAAATTAGATATATGGTGGATTATAAAAATAAATAAATAAAACAATAATAGTTAATAATAAAATGATAATATATTTTTAGATATAATCAGACTAATACATTATGCAGTTACACATTATTAGCCTCTTAATTGTAATCATAAAATTAATAAATTTATTTAGCTTGATTCTAATAGAAAAAAAAAAAAAAAAAAGAAAAGAAAAGATTCACTGATTTAATAAACACCTTATGGTTATTTAATATTGAAGCTAATTATAATAGCATTAGTATCATATTTATATATGCATAATAATTTAAAAATATCTTAAAATTTTTATAATTTATTTAAAAATAAAAAAGTATGTAAATAAATTAAAAATATTTAAAATTCTACAAATTTATTGATATAATACAATAATGCTACTATAAAAAAAAAAAAAAAAAAAAAAAAAATTAAAAAAAAAAAAATTTTAAATATGTATTTTTTTTAATTTTAGATATATAAAGAATAACAAAAAATTTTTTTTTCTTATTTGTTGTATATTCTCTTAAAAAAATAGATTCCCATGAACACATAAAAAATTAAAACATTCCTTAAAAATATTTTTTACTAATATATGAATATATATATATTTATACATACATATATATACTAAAATTTTTATAAAAGAGTATTTGTATTTTATAAAATACCCTAGGATAAATATTATTTTTTTTTTTTTTTTTTCAGTAATTAAAAAAAACAAATACGCACACGAAGATATTTTTATATATTGTTTCAATATATATTTTTTTTTTTTTTTATAATTACAGAAAATAGTATTTATCGAATATTTTAGTAGATTTTTATGTATATATTTTCTTTTATATGATAATATATTAATTTTACGTTACTTTTTGAAATTAAAAGTTTCAACAATTTTTATTAATTTTTTAATTATATCCTAAAAAACGTTTTTTAAAATATAATATCATACTAATGTATGAAAAAAAAGAAAAAAACGATAACAAAAAGATAAATGTAAAATAACATAAATTTCATAAAGGAAAAAAAAAAAAATAGTATGCTTTTTATATATACGAATCGAAATATTCAGAAAAATTTTAAATATTATTTTATATTATAAAATATTTAAATAAAAATGTTGATAAATTAAAAGATAATAAAAAATTTTATTTATATGTGCAAATGTATACACATACATATATTATATAATTAAAATCTATTTTTTTTAAGGCATATCTGAACATAACTATTTATTTATATTTTCTTTTCCTTTTTTTTTTTTTTCTAAATACAAAACTTCAATAATTTTAATCGAAAATGAGTGAATCTGAGTTACAACAACTACAAGTTCTTTGTGAAGCTATGTATTGGTAATTAAAAAAAAAAAAAAAGAAATTAAAAAAAAAAAGAAATGAAAAAAAAAAAAAAAAAGATAGAATAAAAAGGAAGTAAAACAGTAAAACATATAAGAAAATAAAGGATATAATTTAGTAAATACGGTGGGAAAAAATGAAATAAGTTGAATATAAGAAAAAGAAAATATAAAATAAAGTAGAATAGTAAAAAGAAGTAAAATATAAATAAAAGCTGAAATTAAAAAAGAAAAAAAATAATTAGAAAAAAAAAAGGAAAAAAAAAAAAATGAATAAAACAACCTGATGTATTAGAATATATGATTTTTTAAAAATATGAATGAATATACATAAATATTATATATTATAATATATATTAATATATGAACATAACTTATGCATTTTCATTATATATTTATAATTTTTATTATTATTTTTTTTTTAATATATAGCGGTAATAAGGAAGAACAAAATCAAGCACACACAATTTTGCTTCCACTAGTTAACAATGTGGGAAATGTAAGTAAATTAAAAAATATATTAGGAAGCACAAATCATGTTCATACTTTAATATTTACTACCTCTGGTCTTCTTCAATTAATAACAAATGAATGGAATAAAATAGAACAGAAAGAAAAGGATGAATTAAAAGAATTTGTAATATCTTATTTATATAATAAAGGAGTAGATTTATTAAATTTATCAACAAATATTTTAGGAAATTTTGTTAGATTATATGTTCGTATTGTAAAATTATCATGGTTAGAAAATACAAATTATGCACTTATAACAAAGCAGGTGGAGTATTTTTTAAATTCTATAACTAGCCATTGGATTATTGGTTTATATATTTATGCAGAGTTAATTGAAGATATGCATCCACAATGTGGAGTCAATTCTGCAAAGAGCAGAAGATGTGCAATATCTTTTAGAGATTATGTTTTAAAAGATATTTTTAAAGTTGGTATTGAAACATTAGAAGAGTTCGTAAAAGGAAGTATAAGAATTGAATTAAGAATTGAAGAAAATAGGTTATTAATAAAAGTGTTAGAACTAATTTACAATAGTTTATCTTTTGATTTTATGGGTACTATGATAAATGATGAAAGCTCAGATGAAAATATTTCTTTAATGATACCACAATCTTGGGATATATTTAACGAAAAAAATATTCCCAAATTATTTTTTGATATGTATGAGATATGCATGTCAGAAGAAGAAGATATAAGAAATTGTTGTGGAAAATATTGTTTAAGATCATTAATATTACTAGGGAGTTTAAGGAAAACATTTTTTTCAAATGAAAAACAAAAAATACGCTACATGAATGAATTTTTAAGTGGAATTAACAAAATTATTGAAAAAAAAATTGGCTTGCATGATGAAGATTGTTTTCATGAACTATGTAGATTAATTGGTAAAATAGACACAAGTGTTAGATTACAAGAATTAAGTACTTATTCTAATTTTCTGACATGGTGTCATAATATATATTTATTTACAATGGATGGTATGAAAAATTGGAAGTACTTGTGTAATAGCAAGCATTACTTATTAGGTATATGGAGTAATATGCTAAACATAATTCCTGCAAAAATTATAAAAGAAATTAATAGTAGAACTGATGAAAAAGAATTACTCAAAGATGTTCTAAGTAATAAAAATATTTTTGTAAAAAAAAATGCCATTTCTAATAACTTTAATAATAATGATATAGATAACAAGTATTTAATTATATGTGATTACATTTACGATATAACTATGGTTTTTATAAATAGTAGATTAGAATTAGCTAAGTATATATGTGAAAAAGGAGAAAATTGTGACATAGAAAATCCTTTATATAATGATGTTCTGAGAAGTGAACAGTTGGAACTGATATCTAATTTATCTAAATTACAATATAATTTTATTGGTGCAAAATTATTATCAATTTTTTATGAATTAAAAAATAATCATGAAAATAATCTTATTAGTAAAGCAATATTTATAGAGCAAACTACATGGTTAGTTTTTATTATCGCTTCTATTATTTCAAGTAGTGCTGTTTCTAATATGAAAAGTGTCAATTTTAATAACTTCAAAATAAATTCAGAATTATGTTTTTTAGTGTTTTCATTAATGGATCAAACAAATAAATCAGTGGAAGTTTTTGAATATTTAGAATTTGCTTATTTAAATTGTTTAGAATTATTTAAAAAAGTTTATATTAGTGGAAAAAAAAATAACAATTTTTTAAAAGAGATGAAATCGGTTGCTTTAAAAATTATATCTGATAGTTCATCTTATTCAAATGCTAATAATGATCCTATGCAACTATCAAACATTAATAATTTTAATAATTCTTCATTTAATAATAACAGTAATTTATCTTTTCCTACAACTACTTCAAATAATGCAACTAATATGTTAAATAATAACATGAACAGCTTTATTTCTTCTTCCTTGATCTCTAATCAAAATGACGAAGAAAATAATGACCCTTTAATAGAATTAATTATTAGCAAAATATTGTTTAACTTAAATAATAGAGTAGAATATGAACAAATAATTAAAAGAAGTTTAGATTTATTTCATGATCTAGTTTCAGGAATGAATATTATTTGTTTAGAAGATAAAACACCTAAATTAATTGTATTTGCGAGACTACTTTTAAAAAATGAAAAAATATTAAAATTGTTGCATAATAGAAATAGTAAATTTTTGGAGATTTCTAAATATTATAAATATAGGACTAATTATTATTTAATATTAACAAAATTACTATTTATGGAACAAAATCTGATGTCTTCATCTTTTGAAAAATACATATCACCAATTAATAATTTATTAGAATGTATTAAAAGAGAAATTAGTATAAATGGAAAAGATATTATTTTAAAAAATAATGAAATTAAATTAACATTTATAGGTGCTTTAAGAGATTTAAGAGGTATATGCATGGCATGTAATAATGTAGAGACATACAATATGTTTTTCAATTTCTTTATAAATAGCTACCCATTAGAAGATAATCAAATGAATATATTAACATCCCTTGTTGACGTAATATGGGATTCCTACGATATTTGTGTTCCTTTTCTTAAATTTATGTGTGAATTTGTATATAACAAATCTCAAAGAATAACCTTCCCTAAATCATCTCCTAATGGAATTTTATTATTTAAAGTGGTTTCCAACATATTAATTATAATTTCTAACAATTTATTACAAAAAGAAAAATTCGTAGATATATACAAAGAGAAATATAAAATAATATCTCTTTTATTAAATATGTTCAATAACTGTTTAAATGGTGATTTTGTTAACTTTGCCATTTTTGATTTGTACAATGATGATATATTAAACAACTCTTTAAATTTAGCATTAAACATGTGTTTAGTAATTCCTACTAATGATCTTTTATCTTATATAAAGCATTTAAAACCATATTTTTCATTTCTTGATTTAGTTACTAAAAATTTTTTTCAAAGAATTTTAAATTTGGAATTTGAGCTTATAGCTGATATTATTCATAATGTAAAAGAAGGATTATGTTCTTTTGATTACACAGTTTCAATGACGTGTTGTTCAATTTTGGATAATATTGTTACATATATTTTTACGAATAAGAAGAGTTCTACTGAACAAGGGCAGATAATAAAAAACTTTTTGGAAAGTCAACCACAAGCTCTTAAAGAAGTATTGAATTTGATGTTTCATTTAATATTAGGAGGTGATTTTGGTAGCACATGGAGTATGTCTCAACCATTATTAGGTCTAATTTTGTTAGATGCCCAAGGATATTTCAAAATTCAAGAACAATTAATTTCTCAACAAAGTGAAGAAAAAAAACAAAAATTAAGACACAGCTTTTGTAAATTAATGGATCATATAGAATCTAATTTAGCTCCTAGCAATAGAGAAAATTTTACAAGAAATCTTTATACCTTTGCTCAAGAAATAAGAAACATTTTAATTTAGAAGAAAAGAAGAAAATAACTGGTTGAAATTATATTAAAAATTTTTAATTTATCTATTTCTTTTTTTTTTTTTTTTTATCTTAAATAATCTTTTAAATATACATCCAATTTATATTTTTGTTTAAAAATTCTATTTTGCTCTTTTTTTTTTTTTTTTTTTTTTTTTTTTTTTTTTTTTTTTTTTTTTTTGATATTTTGCATTAATTGCTTTATTCTTTGTTCACTAAAAAATATGAAAAAATAATTTTCTTTTTTTAAATTAAGAAACAAAAAATATACACGAGTTGTAAATTTTAAGTTCCTTTTAATAAATAGTTTAATTTTTATTATTATTTTATTTTATTTTATTTTTTTTTTTTTTTTCTATGTCTCTTACATATCATATTATAATAATAATTAACATTAAACATATATTATTTCATTTTTGTTATTTTGACAATTGAGGATTAGTAAGATTTTTCAATTTTTAGAAAAATTCGAAAATAGAAAAAATAAAGATAAAAATAGTAGACACTATTTTCATTAACTAATATACAAACAAAAATTTGGTCATTTGAAATATATAATTTGTTCTTTTTTTAATAATTTTCTTATTTTAATACAAGAATGAAAAAAAAAAAAAAAAAAATTTAGATATATAATTACACAAATATCATCTCATAAAATATATTGAAATTTTCCTTTTTTTAATTTGAAGATTAAATTATGTTAGAAACATTAATTGAATATATTGCAACAATTGCAATTGTTTTAATATATTTGTATATTTTAAAAAAGTGAAATATGAAATTATGTTGTATAATCTCCATTTAAGGTTTTTACATAGAATCTATAGAAAATAAAAATAAAAGTAAAAAAATAAAATTAATATCTATATAAAATAAGAATGAACTAATATATATATATGATAATATATAGATTATTTAATATATATAATTGTTTTTTTTAAAAAAGCTTTTGCTATATAAAAAAAAAAGAAGAAATAATAAATGAGCACTTAATATGCATAAATACAAAAAAAAAAAAAAAAAATATAAAAAAATAAAACAAAAAATTTAGATTATAGAGATATATTTTTCTTATTTATTTTGGGGATCCTTTCTTTTGTTTAAGATTATAATTAAGGAAAAATTAAAAAAAAAAAAAAGAAAAACAAAATACAATAAAAATGTCTAAGTTAAGTAAAATATTAGAAAATAAAAAAGAAATAGGTTTTTGTTCTTGTGTAATCAAAGTACAAGGTAAAAACGAGAATGAGAATAAGAATAATAATAAAAAACAAAAATCTAAAACATGGTTGGATTATTTTAATGATATTGTATCAGAAGATCTAAAAGTTTTAATTAAAAATGAGAATAATTTAAAAGTAAATAAATATTTAAACTTGGAAAAAAATATAGAATTATCAAAATTAATGACATACCAAAATTTGAATGTTTTACTTGATAATCCTTTTGATTTTAACTTAGAAAAAATTTTTCAGAATAAGAAAAAAAATACTAATTTAAAAATTAAAAGAAGTATCTCTTCGTGTGAATCTAAAAAAAAAAAAAGTACGACTTCTTTTGATGATTTAATATGGAATAACAAGCTAAAAAAATATATCAATTTAAATGATTTACAATTGCTTCATAATGTGCAAAGTGATTCAAAAAATAAGAGAAATAAGTCTTGTTTAAGTTCATTTAATCATAAAGCAAATTTTGAAAAAGAATTCTGTGAAATTCATAGGCAGCAAATTCACATAAATCAAAATAGGTTAAATAGTCTACAATTAAAGAAGCCTACAAATGGGAATAAAAATCAAAATGGAGGAAGCAACTCCTTTTTTTTAATGAAAAATAATGCTAATAAAAATAATTTTATAAAAAAAAATCAGATAAACGAATTCGATAATAATATAAATCTAAATATATCTCAATTATATGATATAAACGAAATAGAACAGAAAATAAAAAATGAAATTTTAGCTGAATCAGAAAAAATTAAGTATGTAACAATTAAGCAAAACCATAATAAATTTTTTTTGATTCAAGATGAAAAAAGTGGAAGAAATAAAATAGTTGCTAGTCAAAAAATTGATATTGGTGAAGTTATTTTCATTGAAAGTCAATTTTTAGAAACTTCTATTTTGTTTAATGATTTATGGGATACATTCAATAATTTAGATAACGAACAAAAAAGAAACTTAGATGAAATTAGTGAATTTATGAATATTGAAAGAATATATAAAAGAAAAAATAGTGAAAATAGCTTAAAGCACAAATGCGATATTCATAACAATAATAATTTCTATTTATATGAAGAAGGTATCAATAATTTGAAAAATGAAAACCATAATAAATATTATTACAGGAAAAATGACATAATATACAAAGAACACAATGAAAATGTAGTACAAAATAATATTCTAAATAGTAATACACATGAAAATGATAATATGGAATTTTTCAATGATAATTTTATAAATAAATTAATAAAATTTGAAATATTTACTGATATACTTAAAAATTCTTTTATTTCATGTAATAATAGAACTAAAGTAATGCTTTTTAAAAATGCCTCCTTTTTAAATCATAACTGTTTCCCAAATGCGAGTTACTGTTTTATAGACAAAAATAAAATATGTTTATTAGCAGTAAAAACAATCAATATGTATGATGAAATAAGAATTTCATATATAAATGAATTATATTCTTCAATTGAATATAGAAAAAGTAAATTAAAAGATATGAAAAACATGAATTGTTGTTGTAATCGCTGTTTACAAATAATGGATGAAGAAAGGAATATTTTGTGTGCTGTGTGTAAATATTCTTATGTTAGTAAAAAGCTTAACGAACAATATATTAAAATAATGGAAGAAGAAAAGGAAAATTTAACAAAAAGCCGAAATATAAGTACATTTGAGCATGTAGAAGAATCTGAAATGACAAACAAAAAATTAAATAACTTCACTTTTAATATAAATAATGAATTAAATAATTCAAAATATTTAAATAAAAATTATTATATTAAAAATATGATAGAAAAAAGTGTAAATGACCATACTTTAATGAATAAAGGTGTAGTTATTAATGAACGCAAAGACTCAACTCATAATTATATAATTTATGAAAATTTAAATGATATTAATGAATATCATAAAAAGTCAAATGATTGTATTGAAGGATATGAGAATATAAATGACAACACGAATACTAATGACTATGAGAGAATAAAAAACTACAAATTTACTTCATCAGAACCTTATCATCATTTAAATAAAGGATTAAATAAATTACAAGAATTTCAAAATTATAAAAATATTGCAGATAACAAAGTAGAAAGCAAAACTTCTGATGAAAGAAATATAGAAAATTTTTTAAATGATGATAGTACAGGGATTTTTTTTTATTCACAATTTAATGATAATACAAATGAAATGAAGTTTTATACTAGAAAAAATAGTGAAGTCAAAGAAGAAAAGAATTGTCGCAAAATATTCAATTGCTTAAATTCTACATTTTCTTCAAAGAATAATTTTAAAAATCCTTTATATCCATCCATGGAAAAAGAAAATTCATATGACCAAATAAAATCAGAATCATATCTAATAAATAAAGGAATAAACGAAAAATTAGTGGATATTTCAGTTTTGGAAAAAAATGAAAACTTAGATACTAATTTAGTTAATATATTAAGCATAAATTATGTAAGAGAAAAAATAGGGTATTGCAAGTTTCATAATAGTGGAAAGTGGGTGTGTGATACTTGTAATGATACTATCTCAAATTACGCTATGCCGTTAGACAGTGAAAGTTGTTTTATACAGGAGTATAAGATTATAAAAGAAAAAATAAATAGTAATAAATTTGATATTGAATCCATTGTAAATAACGTAGAAAGATCGTTATTATATATAGTAGGAATTCTAGGAGAGAAACATTGGTTATATGCATCATTTAATTATATTATAGCAGATTTATGTTTTTCACTTTATAATTTCAATTCATTAAATAAAAAATATTTATTAAAAAGTTTTAATTCATTTTATAATTTTTTGAATTTTATTCAAATGAAATGCCCCCAGGCAGTTCATACTGATTTGGTTCCCTTAGCTTTAAAATTTTTAATTATTTGCATATATACAAGTAATTATAAAATATTTTATAAATTTGTTAAGTCAGGATTTTTAGAATTAATTAAACAAAAGTATGGTTCATGGGACATCTCTTATATATCTCTGCTTTACTGTTTTAAAATATGTTCTGAAAAAATTAACAACAGTATTTTAGTAAATAGAAAAATTATTTTAATGTTAGCTGAGTTTGCTAAAATAAATATGCTAAGAAATCATTTTAATTAGTAGATTTAATATTAATTAAAAAATAACATAAAACAATAAGAAAACATACACATATATATTTTATATGGGCGATTAGTGTCCATAAAAAATGTTTTGCATGGCTATTTTTATATATTTTTTTTTAAATATGTTCTGCTTGTGTTTTTTGTTTTATATATATCATGTTTATAAAATAATTATTAATATATAATTTATTTTTTAACGAAACAAACATGATTTAATAAAAGAGTATTATTTAACAAAATTATATAAATATAATAAAAAAGCATAAATTATAAAATTAAAAGCAAAAATATCATAATATTTATGGAAAAAAAAAAAAAAAAAAAAGAAAAGAAAGAATACATTTATTTAAATTTTAGTAAAAATAAAAAAATAAAATAATGTAAATCATAAGACATATAATTACTGTAAATATAATGATGTAGTAAAAATAATATCCCTTCTTAGAAGGTTTGATGTTTCTTCAACTTTTTGTGCTAATTCAATGTTACCAAGATATAAAAATGCAATTTTGACTTTTCTGCATAGATCATCTAAACGTAAAATAGATCTGACTATTAAACCCTCTTCTAATTCTGTCTGTTCTAATAATTCAGCAAAAGATGCCCCAAGAGCCCACTTATATGCAATAAACATTATTTTAAAATTACACAACTTCCAGTGATCTTCTGAACTTACTCTTAAGCGAATTACCTTATAAAATTCTTCAAATTTGCTATGAATATTTGTTAAAGAAGCTTTGACATCTTGCAAATTTACAGTTAAATCAGGTGATTCTTCAATTTTCTTTTCTGGTGCAACAAAACATGATAAAACAGCTGCTATTTCTGGTGGATTCAATTTATTCAAAAGATTTTCAAAAATAACCTGAGTTAATGTAATTTCATCAGTTAAAGTAATATAGCTAGCTATTTTCCCCTTTATTGTTAAATTGTTTTGATCATCAATAAACGAAAAATGCCTTAAGACGTTAAGTTTTCCTTCCATATCTTCATACAGATTTAATGATTTTGCATTTATATTCTTCTCTATATTTTCAATGTCATTCAAGCAATCATTTTTTTTACAAACTAATTCATAATGTTTTTCTTTTAAATTGCAATTGTAACACTTAGATTTTTTCAAGCTCTCTAGATAATCCGTTTGGTTAATCAATACAGAATAAAATTCGCATTTAAGTGCTTTTAACACTTTCGATAAAACAATTGGTTCAAAATTTTCTTTTTCTATTAACCTGTCGAGTTCAAGGGTATATAATAATAAATTTTTTGGATTATTCAAGAGAGATGTTGTTTTAACATTTGGTAATTTTATTACAGTATTAGTTATAATAGAAATATTTTCAATACATATATTTGAACACAAAACAAAATGTTTTTTGTTACCATCCGTATCAAAAGAAGAATGGTATATAATTTTTATATCATTTTTGTTTCTTCTTTCAGAAAAAATATTTTTGTAATTTTCGTACAAGTTTATATTTTCTGAAATACTATTTGAATAACTTGCATTATTATTTGAATTATTTTTATTCTCATGGTTGTAACTATTATTATCTTTTTCCTTATCACAATCTCCCATTTGTAATAGCATATCTTCATAAGTCATAAAGTCTGGTAGAATAAATAAAAAAAAAAACCTCTCATTTGATTCATCTTTTTCTTTATTATTTTGAAAAAATATGCTGTTCTGAGCAAAATCTACTTTATCATTTTTTTTGTTACTTTTTTTATCACATCCCATATAAATAGCATAAACAGAACTATGAAGGATGCTAATATTGTTTAATAACATTACTCTTCCAATTACAAAACAGTTACTGTTTTTCATATTATATAATTTTTTATGTAAATCTAAACCAATAAGTTTCAATTTATAATCAATTTGAACGTAATTTTCTATAGGGGGAATTATGTCTCCTTGCATGTAAATACATTCAACTTCTTTTATATTTTGAAGCAACCTTTTCTTTCTTTTTAGGTCCTTCTTAAATAATGGAATTTGTAAAGCTCTACAACTTTCTAAAAATGAACTAAATAGCATTTTTTCTATGTTTATTTGTTTATTTATTAATAGCTTTAAAATCATATTGTATGTTACCTTAAATTTACTTTTTAAGCTAACAGCTTTTTGCATCATCATTTCTGTTAGTTGTACTTGATCAGGGATATTATCACAACAAAATATATATACATAACCATATTTATCTGATGATCTTCTACCTGCTCTTCCTGACATTTGAGTGTACTCTGATGACGTTAATATTCTCTTCTTTAAATGATCATGCTTATATATAGATGTAAAAACAACTGATTTTGTTGGCATGTTAATACCCATAGCAAATGTCTCAGTTGCAAATAATACTTTTATTAAACCTTTTGAAAAAAGAATTTCTACTATTTCTTTTAAAATTGGTAATAATCCACTGTGATGTATTCCTATTCCTTTTTCCAATAATTTACTTAAATTTTTTATTTGATTTAATTCTCTGTCTCGTGTGCACAGTTTTGATATAGATTCTTTAATAAATAGGTGAACTTTTGATTTTTCTTTATTATTCAGAAAATTTAAATGTGGCATACATTTCGCATAAGTTTCACATTTAATTCTTGAGAAACAAAATAAAACAACGGGAAGCTTATTGTCTTGTTCTAATTTTTTAATTAGAGTCTGCAATTTTTGTATTTCTGTTTTCATACTTGCTTCATTAAAAAATGTTTTCTGTTTTCTTTTCTGTTTGCAATATTCATAATACCCTTTCGTATTATCAGTCTCACTTTTATTCTGAACGGGCTTACTTTTCGGATCATAGTTGCTTTTTTTTTTGTACTGCAATTGTTTTTGATTTTTACTTGCTTCTTCCTTTTCTCTTATTTTAATGTATATTTCTTTAAATGAAGATGAATAAAATTTATTTTTTTCATCCATTATTAAAAAAATTGAATCATACGCATATATATAGTGTAATAAAGGCACTGGTCTTTTTTTTGTAGATATTGAAATCACTTCTTTTTTTTTAGTAAAACCTACCCAATCCGCAAATTCCAAATAATTGGGAACAGTTGCACTTAATAGTAAAATTTGAACATGATCTGGTAACATAATAATAGACTCTTCCCATATAACACCTCTATCTTCATCATTAACATAATGTACCTCATCAAAAATAACACAGTGAATATTGTTGATAATTTTATCATTTAAATATAATAAATTTCTTAAAATTTCTGTAGTCATAATTATACAATTAGCATTTACATTCATCTTTACATCTCCTGTAATTATTCCTACATTTTTAAAAATATTTTTGAATTCATTATATTTCTGATTACTTAATGCTTTAATAGGGCTTGTGTATATAGCTTTTTTTTGTAATTTTATGGATAATGCTATTGCATGTTCAGCTATCAAAGTTTTACCAGCTGATGTGTGAGCAGCCACAAATACATGTTTAAAATTGTTTAAATGATTGATTGACCTTTTTTGAAAATCATCTAATTCAAAATCATAATTTAATAACATATCATTTTTAGAAAAGTTGGAGACATCCGAATGATTGTCTTCTATTACCCATTTTTTTCTAATGTACTTTACCTTCGTTTTTTCTTCATTTATTTTTATATTGATATCATCCACTAGTTGAAAATTTTCCTTATCATTAAAATTATCTTCCTTAGATGATTTTAAATTTTTTTCATCATTTAATTGGCATATGTCCTTTGAGTCTAAATTATAATTATCTGATTTTGTAAAATTTTCATTGTATAAATTTATTTCATTTAATTTATTTTTCATTGTTTCTTCATTTATATTATTATTGTTGGATTCGTTTATGTCTAAACTTTTTATTTCATTAGTTATTTTTGACTTGAAATTTGGTGGATTTACATAATCGAATGAATTAGAATGCTTAAAATTAAAATTTTCATTTAAACTTAGTTTTTCATTACACGGTGCTTCATCATTTATTGCTACACCTGTTTCACAATAGTTTAATAAAGAATCATTGAAAATAAAATCGTTGACATCATAATTTTGTAAAATATTACTAATAGAAAATTTATCAGATAAATCATTTACACTATCATTCATTAAATCATTTATATTAAAATTTAATCCTTCATTTACAACGTTAAATGTACCATTCGTGTACAAATCATTCTCTTTCAAGTTTTCTCTTTTTTCAAAAATATTTTCATTATTATATTCTTTTATGTCATAATTATAAAATTCATTCTTTTCTTCATTTATTTTGTTCTTTTTTTTTTCTTCTATATTCTCTTCCTCTTCTTCACTCTCTTCCTCTTCATCTTTCTCATCTTCATTTTCCTCATCTTCATCTTCTATATCCTCATCACTAGTCCAAAAGTCTGATAAGTTAGAATATAAATATGCCATCGTAATAAATAAAAATATATAATATACAAAAATATAAAAAATTTTAGGTGTTTAACAAATAATTTGCTTTTATCAATATTTTTATAGTGTTACAAGTATATACAAACACTTTTTTAATTTATTACTAAATAAAAAAAAAATTTAATTAAATTGAATTCTATTTTTTTCATTTAAATAATTCATCCTTAGGAATATTTTTTTTTTTTTTTTTTTTTTTTTTTTTTTTTTTTTTAACATTAATTTTCGTACTTAAAAAAAAAAAAAAAAAAAAAGATTTATGAGAAAAAATTATATAAAAAATTAAATAAAATAAAAAGTGAACTTTTTTTTTTTTACTTTTAAGTATAACTTTATTTTCATAAAAATCCAAAGAAAATTATTTTGTAAAAGTTTTCTTTAAAAAATGTTAATTATTTACATAAATAAGCATTATCCTAATCTTAGTAAAAGGTATAGAATTTTTTTGATAAAAAAACAAGGATTTAATTTATTTTTTAAATTATTTACTAGAACTTACATTAGTATATTTTTTTTTATAATAAAAATGAGACGGTGTTAAAATATTACAAAAAGATAATTATTCTCTATTTTATTTATACTTAATAATAAGATGTAGTATATATTAGTAAAACAATGTTTTTCTTTTTATTATTTTAAAAGACAAAAACTCATTTTGTAAAAAAGTATTAAGAAATCTATTAATCATTTTTTTTTTATTTCATTAAAAAAACAATTTTATTATTTTTAATTCTATATGCAAAAATGTTTTTAATATAAAATTTTTAAATACAATAGAAAATTAGGAAAAAACAAGAAAATATTAAAGAAATTAAAAATAAAATATATATACGTATGAACAGTTTATAAATTATGCCTTTATATCTTTGTTTTTTGAAGCTATTCTTGCATGAACTTCCATTGCTCTTCTAATTGTTGCAAAATTTGTTTTGGTTTTTGATTTATTTATTTTAAATATAGGAGCGTATCTTAACATATCAGGAAAAATCATAAAACATACACTACCACCTCTTATATAAACTTGCTATAAAAATAAATAAATAAATATATAATATTAATTGATAATAAAATATAAATTACATTTTTAAAATATATTTATAAATTTTCATGTATTCATTTTTTTTTTATTTCTTTCTCACTTCTAATAAGATCTGTTTTCCATCCTTTTTAACTACTGAAACATTTTCAAGTAAACAGTTCATGTTATCTTCTGCAAATAACTAATAAAAATAAATATTTATATAAATATATTATAAAAAATAGATAAGTAAAATATTTTAATGTATTACTAGTGTTCCTCTATACAAAACTCCAGATTGCGTTTCTACAGAAATAGTATGACCTATTCCTTCATGTAATAATTTTATTGGTACACCAACCGACATCTTTATAATATATATATATATATATGTATATGTTTTCTTATTAATACATCAACTTTAAAAAAAGAAAAAAATATAATTGATTTATTTTTTTTTATTTATTATTTCATTTAAGAAATAATTCTCTAGAATTTCAAAAATAAAAAAAAAATGTTGCTTTTTCAAAAAGTTCCATAATGCAAAAATAATTGATATTTCTAAAATACGTTAAATAAGATTCATAAAATATATTTAAATCATAGTTTCTATAATGAAAAAAAATATTTTTAATTCATGTTTAAAATTTAAAAAAAAAAATTATATAATATGGATGGATATCGTAGGATTTTTTTATATTTTTCACTTATAAAATATGCAAAATAATAGTAAGGAAATATAAAAATGCTTTTTATTAATTATTAAAAAAAAAAAAAAAAAAAAAAAAAAAAAAAGTAAAAACTTCCTAAATATTTTTTTGACTAAGTTGTACACATATCGAATTCCTGTTATTCTTATTTTTATAAAAATAATTTACTGAATTTTTTCATTTGCAATTATATATTCTTTTTTATCTATATTATTTTTGAGGATTGCTCAAATTTAAATTTAATAATTAATTTTCTAAAACAAAAATTTACAATAAAAATATGTTTATATTAACTAAGAATTATTTAAAGAATATTAATTTTAAAATCGGTAATAAAAGAATAAGTTTATAAAAATTTTATTTTTATATGGCGGAGTATTTTAAGTGATAAAAAAAAAAAAATTATTTCTTTAAAATACAAAATAAAATTAATTTTTTCTCATCAAATAGCTAATTAAAAATATCTTTATATATATATATATATATATATATATATATATATATATATTCTAAATGTATAATTGTAAAAAAAATTAAATTCATTAGATATAAATCAACAAAAAAAAAAAAAAAAAAAAAAAAAAATATATGAAACATCAAATAAATTGAAATATGAGCTTATTAAAACTTTATATTTTTTTTTCTATTTTAAATAAAAAAAAATATATATTCTAATAAATACTTTAAAAAGTGTGCAAAAACAAAATATAACGAAAAAATAAATTACATAAAAACTATTTAAAATTAAAGAAATTAAAAAATATATAATAAATAATACGTTTAACTTATATATATATGAACAATAATTATTTAATTTATATTTATACCATATCATTTACTTATTTTACTTTTATTTCGTGTTCAGAAAAAAAAAAAAAATCTCTTCCTTACACATGCACTTGTATGCTTTATGATTTAAATAATTTTATTATTACAAAATAAAAAAAAAAAAAAATAAAAAGTATTAAAGCTCATACATTTGTATTTATTCGTACATATATAAAATTCTTAATATATATTTCAACAAAATTGTAAATATTTATTTACCTAAAAAAATTATTTTAGACATAATCATTAAATAACTTTTTTTTTTATAGATGTACATTATTATTAGTTATTTTATTTTTTTTGCTTTTTTATTTAATTTTTGTTATTTTGTTCATAGTCTCATTTAATACTTTTTTTCAGTTACAAAATGTTGTAATTCCCTTAATCTATATAAAATTTACTATTTCATTTATATAAATGAAAGTTTGTATAAATGTATAGATTATACTATTCAATAATATTTATTTTACAAATAATTAAATGGCATAAATATGTCCACATTTCTTTATAGTTAAAATATATTTACAATAAAAATAGCTTTTTTTTTTTTTTTTTTTTTTTTTTTTTTAATTATATATTCAATAGTAGTAAGTAATGTTTTTAATATTTTATTTTGTAAATGAATAGTTATATTTGAAAGCATGATTATTTTATTGTATGTGTTAATATATAAAATTCCAAATTTTTTGCAAAAAAATTGCATTTTAATATGAATGTATTTAGTTCTAATGATCAAACATTAATGATAAATTAGAGATAATGTAAAAAAATTCATTCATTTAATTTTCTAAATCGTTATTATTTATATTGTCACAATTATTGGTATTGTTTTTATTATTCCTTCCATAACTATTTGAATTTTTCAAAATTTTCATATTGTTATCATGACTCGCTGAAATATTATTAAGAGTAATATTTTCATCATCATTATTACTATTTATGCTTATATTAATATCGTCACTATTTCCATGTATATCTTCGTTTTTATCATTACTATGGTTACAAATTTTGCTATTTACATTATTATTTTTTATGTTATTATTATTATTAGTAGTAGTAGTATTAATATTAGTATTGTCACTGTTACAATTATTATAACAATGACTATCATTGGAATTATTATTATTACTATTAATGTTATTGTAACTATTATTATCATTGATATTATTATTATCATTACTTATATTATTACAGTTATTATAACTATTATTATTATTAATAATGACATTATTATTATTATTAACATCACCATTATTATTACTACTAACATTATTGTTATAATTATTCATATTATTAGTATTACTATTATTACTTATATTATTACAGTTACTATAACTATTATTATTATTATTATTATTTATGACATTATTATTATTATTAACGTCACCATTATTATTACTACTAACATTATTATTATAATTATTTATATGATTAATATTACCATTATTGCTATTACTATTACTTGAAGAACTATATGTGTTATTAGTATTAACATTTAAATCATTATTTTCATTCTGGTTATTTATATTATGCACAGAAGTGATATTATCATTTCTGCTATTATTTAAAACGTGATTATTCACACATTCAATAGTTTGATTAATATTTTCATAATTGGATAATTCGTTATTAATTCTATTATATTCAAAATTGTTATTTGTTAATTGCATATTATTATCTATTAATAATTTTGAGGAAAAGTTATCAAGAGTACTGACATCTTCATCTTTTGTTTTTGATAATTTTAGGCATAATGGCAAAAATATCCAATTTTTTCTCTTCATGTACACATACATAACAGTTCTACCTATTTGCAAAGCAATAAATTTATTTCTTCTTATGTTAAAAAAAACAGGTTTTCTTATTTGAATTAATGTCCCAAACTTACTTTTGCAATCTTCTATATAAAAATTTCCATTATGAAATTTAATCATTGCATGAAATCTTGACACAGAAATATCATTAACACGGACATCACTATCATGTCCCCTTCCCATTCGAACATATTTCGTATTTGCTAGACTAACAATATAAAAACCTTTATTTCTATCATTAATTAGCTCAATAATTATATATGGCAATTCAGGCTTTGGTATTTCATATAACTCTAAATATTTATTCTGCACATATATATATGTTGGATATGGAAATTTGCATAATTCACAATTTAATTGTTTCCAAAAAAAAGAATAAGAAGAACAGTCATTTCTAACATTTAATCTTCCTCTCATCCACGTTCTCAAACAATTTAAATGAACGTACTTCATAGAACCTTTACATTTACATGGTGATATTAATGGATTATTTACATCATCATACTCACATAAGCATATTCTACAATTATATAAACTTGAAATAGAAAAACCTTTTTTATATTGAATATAATATTCTTTAGCACTATTTATCATTTCTCCTTTTTCTTTATTTGTAAAATCCACATTTTCATAATTATTTCCCTTTTTAGTTCCTTTTAATGAACTATTATTACTATTAATATTATTATTATTATTTTTTTTATTAATATTATTTCTTCTTAACAAATTTATATTATTAAAAAAATCATTTCCCAATTTTCTATTTTCATCATTATCATATCTATTTTTCTTATCATTGAGATCCATTCTCTCATAATAATGGTTACAACAACGATTATTTAACTCCTTATAATTTATATTTCTTACTATGGGCTCTTTACTATTGCTCTCATTATTATTACCAAAATTACTATTCACAGCATTATTATTATCTGTTATGTTTACATAACTAATGTGAATAGGAGAATTTTTTAAATAATCCAAGTCATTGTTTTCAACTTGTTTTGTTTCATATACATTTTTATTTTCATCTTTTTTATCATCATAATCTCCTATATTTCTAATATTTTTTGAATTTAAGGAAATTTCTTTCATTTGCATGTCAGAATTATTTATATTTAAAATGTTTTTATGACAGCAACTATGAGTTGTGCAATTACTCTCTTTTAAGTACGGTGATTTCATTTTATTATTATGAATATTATTATCTTTTAATGTACATGAAATTATAAAATCGTCCGATATATTGCTATCATTATTGCTCAAAACAATTATTTCATCCTTTTTTTTTATAATATCATTATTTTCCCCATTTTCTGTTTTATTCATATCACACTTATTCTTCATGATACTATTACTACTATTTATAGTATCAGTATTATGATTATTACTATGATTATTATTATTACTATTATTACTATTTATATTATCAGCATTATGATTATTATTATTGTTTTTTGAATTTATATTATATTCACCATTTTCATTACTGTTTAATTTGATATTATTATTATTATTATTATTATCAAAATCTCCGTAATCATTAACTGAATTTATTTCCTTTTCATTTATGTTAAATCTAAATGGAATTAAATTTTCACATGAATCATTTGAGTTCATTAAATTTCTATATAAATCTCCAATTTCGTTTTCTTTTATTATTTTGCAATTTTTATCCATACTATTTTTATATTTTGAATCTTCAAAATCGTTCATATTATTATTTGTTTCATTAGTATAACTATTATATATATTAGTATTATTACTATAATTATTTAGATGAAGTTTATTATCTATATCTGAACATTTTTGATAAATATCATTTGATAAATTATTTTTAAATGAATATGCTCCATCTATATAAGAATTATTGAGTGTATTATTATTATTATTAGTAATTCCAGACGATAAATTATTCGAGGAATAATTTTTTACATAAGAATCCTCATTATTACTATTATTATTTTTATAACCAATATCATCTGTGTTATTACTTTTATTTATAGTACCACAATGAATACATATATCTCCTGATAAATTACTATCGAAATTTACATGTCCATTAACACTGTTCATATAATTATTAATAATCATATTTTTTTCAATTATATTGCTACCTGTAAAATGTTCAGTTTCAGGTGCAACTGTTTCACATTCATCATCATCAAATGGAGATATAGATTTATTATACTCTTTTTCTTGCTGAATATTAGTTATAATTTTTTTTATTTTCAACTTAACTCTTCCTAATTTAATTACATCATCTTCATGCAACACAGAACTTTTATTTTTTAAATATTTTACAATAACCCAGAAATTATCTATATGATTATCCGTCATATTATTATCATTAGATTCATTTATTTTGGTATCACTATTATTTGTATCATCATATATATTTTCTATACATGGAATTAACTGATAGTTATTATTTATATATTTTATTTTACATATTAACTTTAAGTTAGTATTATTTAACATAATTTTACTTATTTCTTCTTCATTTTTTATTTCAACGTTTATATCATCTTTTAAAATATAATAAAAATTATATAAACATTTTATTTTAAAACATTTCTTATAAAAATTTTCACTTTCATAATCAAATAATCCATGACTATTGTTTATCCATGTATAGCAATTAACATTAATTATATAATTTTTCGTCTTTGCACTTCTATTTTTCTTACCATTTATCATTCTTATAAATTATGGTGATATACAGCAATTAAGAATTAAATAATAAACAAATAAATATATATGTACATATATATACATATACAGAAGATAAATATTGAAAGAATCAAATTAAAAAAAAAAAAATAATAATAAAATAAAGGAAAATATAAGTAGAAATGAAGATAAAAAAACAAAAATATATTTAAAAAAAATTAAAACTTAATTTATTGCTAAATTTTTATTAGAAAACATAAATAGAAATACATATTCATATATAAGTGGACAAAAAATATATAAAAATATAATAAAAAAAAAAAGAAATATCTTTTTTTTTTATTGTATTTTATATATTTTTCTTATTTTATATTATTCTATTCTTATAAATAAAAAAAATATACACTTTTAAGTAAATACGCATTCATAATTCTATATTTGTAGAATTATTTAGATTCTAAACATAAATATTAAATATTACATAAAACTATAAAAATATACTTTATACAAATATATAGAAATTAAAAGAATACTTTATGTTATATGTTAATTTAATATTTATTTTATAAAATTTTTTAATTATATTATTTACATTTTTCCTTATTAATTTATTTTTTTATTTATACTGATAAATACTATGACGTAAAGCGTGTGTGTGCATGTTATGCATATACCTTTTTCTTTTCCCAATTTATTTGCCTATATAATCCAATTTTTATTTTGCTATAGATTTATATATTTGTTTAATGTCTTAATTTATGAAAGTTAACAATATATAAAAAATAAAATAAAACAAAATAAAATGGATAAATCAATAAATATAAAATATAAAATAATTTTATAAATATATATATATATATATATATATAATATATATATATATATGTAAAATGTATAAATTATAAATATTTCAGAAATAAAGAAACTAATATATCCAAAAATGGTTTGCACATAAAAAACAAATTTATAATCAAATTAAATTGTTCTATTTTTTATATTTATTGATTCATGCACTAAACATATATATATATTTATATGCAAGTATATGGATTGTATTAAATATTTGTAATATGAAAACATGTATTTTTTTTTTTTTTTTTTTTTTTTTTTTTTGTTTATCAATATTAAAAAATTTATAAAAATTTATCAATAAATTTTGAAAATAAAAGTAAAATTGTAAATATAAATAAAAAATTAGTTTATTATATGTATAATATATATTTCAAATTTTATTTTTAGAAAAGTGCGAGCATTCAATACAAAATTTGGAATTTAAAAAACTATAAAAAAAAGACTTAATCTTTTATTCATAAAAATGTAATTTTGCAGACATCCTATATATATTTACATGTAAATATATAAAAGTTCTTATAAAAAAAAAAAAAGTATGTTTTGATCTGATAAAAATAACTTTTTCTTTTTCTTTTTTTTATGCCTATTATGAGCAATATTTCTCAAAAATATATATATGATATATATTTTTATGATAAAAAAGCATTTAAAATGAATTTGTTTTTTATAGAAAATACATAAACATTAATACGTCTCACGTTAAAATTAATTGGGATAAATTTTTCTTTTTTTATGCAAATACTTTAGGAAAAAAAAGAAAAAATAAATAAAATTTTTATTAAAAAATGAATTTTTATAAAAATTTTTTTGTAAAAATAAACTTTATGCAAATATATAATTAACAAAAAAAATATTACTATTAAAAAATATAGATAAATTTATTTAATATATATATATATATATATAATTTATTTTTAATATATTTCAAAAAAAAAAGATATCGGTAAGATTCAAAAATTATAATAAAAGTTTCTTGAACAAATTATATTAAAAAATTTAAGGAAAATTTAAAATTATATAGTGCTCTTAATTTTTATATTTTAATTCTTATAATAATGTACATTATTATTTTAAAATAAAGAAAAAAAAAAAATAGTGAATGTACATAAAAAAAAAAAAATATATATATATTGAAAAATTTGAGAAAAAACTTTATGATACTTGAATTAAAACAAAATATTTTTAAGCAGCACTAAGTTTATAAAAGAAGAATAAAAATTTTAAAAAATAAATGAAATTTTTTATTCTTTATATTATTATATATATCAAATATTATAAATTTTGTTGCAATAGTTATTTATAAATATATAAAAAAAAATTAACATAAATTTCTAAAAAAAAATAACAGTTAAGAAGTTCAGAATTACATACTATATAGCATTAAAAAAATAAAAATTAACCGTTGTATAAAAAATATAAAATGAAACATATAACCGAATATTTCAAAAAGTGAATTTTATTTTTGTAATAAACATATATGGGTATTTAGGATTCTTCGGATGTTATATATATATTTATATATATATATATATATATATATATATATATGGATTATTGTATTTTATTTATATCAAAAAACATTTATATCATTCTATACAATAAATTATTTTTTTTATTTAATTTATATAATGATTTCTTAAATTTTTTTTTTTATATTCAAAACAAAAAGGCTATTTTTGAATAAAAGAATTGTATTTATTTTATTTAATGAAAAAATTCTGTTTAAAATTTTTTAAATTTATGTTTGAAATTTTTGTAATGAAAAATTTTTAGTTTAAAAAAAAAAAAAAAAAAGCGTAACGAGTAAAACATGTCTTACTAGCTAAACCAAATTTCCCAATTTTTAACATATATATATTCTTTTTTTTTCTATAAAAAATTTTTCATAACATATATATAAAGTTATTTATTAAAAAGAACTATTCATCATAAAATATATATATATATATATATATATATTGTTTAAAAATATTGTCTATTAAATTATTCAAAGGAATAAAATACAATGAAAAAATTATCATTAATGTAAAAATTACATGATAATTTATCTTATTTTTCTCTTTGTTTCAAAATTTTTTATATAATTTATTTTTTCTATTTTTTCTTTTTCAAATTATTATAAAATATATCTTAGAATTGTGAAATTTATTTACAAATTTTTTATGAATTTTTCCAATATTAATAGAAATTATATTTTAAGTGAAAATAATTTTACACTTTTATTTTTTTCTTTATTTTCTTTATTTTATTTTATTTTTTTTTTTTTTATTTTTTTTTTTATTGTAAATTCAAAAACATGAAAATGTTATTCATAATTTCACAAAATAAAGATGCATGGTAAGTTTTTTTTTTCTTTATTAAAAATATTTTTCTTTTTTAATGCTGCTAATTTAAGTCAAGGAAATTTAATTATTTCAAATGAAAAAAATGGTAAACTTTTTAAAATAAAGAAAAAAAATTTATATCGTTCTCAAAAATTCTAATATTAAGTTTATGCATTTTTTTTTTTTTTTTTTTTTTTTAAGAAATAAATTATATTTCAATAAATAAAAATAATATAAATGATTACATTAATGTCAAGGAAAACAGTTTTTTATTTAATATATCATGTAGAACTTCAAGTGTCTTAAATAACATTAAGGGTTATTTTTTGAATAAAATATATCCATCTTGGGGTAAATTCTAAGAATATTTATTTAAAAAAACATATTATTATCATATTTCTGTTAAATATTAAGATGTTTTTTTTTATTAATATTACATTTTTAAAATAACATTTATCCTTATATATATATATATATATTTATGTTTTTCTTTTTAGATTTATTAGAAGTATTTAGATATGAAAATGTTAATTCTAATGATGTAGAGAAGATGGAAAAAATAATTGAAAAGACATGGGATAGAGAAAATAAAGAATTTCTTTTATCAACTAAAAAGTTAATAGAGAAGTATGAAGACGATGATTTATTTATTTTACAGATAGGTTTAAATAGTATTTCATCCTTAATTCTTAACAAACCTGAAAATGTAATATTTATAGAAGAAAATATGGATATATGCAAAAAATACTTTCTTTATAAACATAATAGATGTTTATTGCTTTCAAAAGGAATAGAATTTTATTGTAAAGATAAAGATGATTCTTCTAGAAATAATGATATATATGAAACATTAGATTTAATTACAAAGATATATCAAAGTAAAAATAATAAAGTAATAAATATTATTATTATAAATCATAAATATCCAGTTGCTTTACTTTATTATTTATTTCCATATTTAGATTCATCAACACTAATTATTTTAATGGATAACTTAAATCATAAAATGAAAACAGCCATTTTTGAGTTATATAATTTTATTGGAGAAGCTGAATTCACAAAAAGCTTCGAAAAACAATATTTTAATAAATATAATATGAAAAACGAAAAAGGAAAAAAGAATGAGGCAAAAGAATATCAATTAGATGAAGACATATATATTTATAATAAAATGAAGCAATCTCCATTTTACATTATTACATTAAACCCTAAAATAATGCTTAATCCACCAGAAAACTATTATGAAACTTTTATTTCTAACGATTATACTTCATCATATGAAACAGAAATAACTCGTTTAATAAATGACATAGAAAAAGTTTTGAAATCAAATGAAAAATTTTATAATAAACATAAAATAGAAGTTTCTAATTACTTTACTATTATAAATGAATTTGAGTTTGATGATGATAACTATCAATTAAGAAATAAATTAACAGATATATTAATATCAATAACTACAAAATTTGCAAATACTGGTGGTATAAATGAAGAAAATTATCAGTTTGCTTTACTTAATTTAAAAAAAATATTTGAAATTATGCTATTTTACGTTTATGAAAATTCAAAATTCAAAGCTTTTTTTACACCATTAATTGATTTTTTCAACTTATATTTAAATAAAAATGATCCTAACTATATTATATATCAGCATCTTATTTATGGATTAATTAAAAATTCATTTGAAGTGACATCATATGAATTAAAAGAATTGTTATTTCTAGATATATTACGAGATGTATCAAAAAAAATTAGTAAACTATCAATTAATGAAGTAATTGAATTAGTTACTAAGCTAAATATGATTCTTAAAAAACTTAGATCAAGAGAAGATATTCAACATGTTATGGAATATGCTAAAAAATATTTTAACATAGATTATGTTAATTATGAATTGTAATTAATATATTTGATATTATAGAATATTTTTAAGTCTTTTATATATTAATAATATTAGATAAAAAAAAAAAAATAGTTAATTAGCTATAGTGATATAATTCTCCTTTATGTAATGTTCTCAATATTCATTTTACTAAAAATATATTTCTATAAGTTTCATATTTATTATCTTTTAGTAAAAATTTTTAGTATATTTTTAATATAATTTTTTTTTTTTTGTTTTATTATGTATATATATGTATATGCATATATATTTTTTTTTATATAATATACATTGTTTTAATGAGAACACGAGCAATTATAAGTATATTTTTTCATTGTAGACATATTTATAAAATATATTCATATGCCTATATTTCTACATTTATATGTTTAATAAATACAAATTTTTTTTTTTAATCTGAAGGTATATATTTGAAAAAATAGTATTTTATGTTTTCATTTTTTTTTTTTTATTTTATCTTTAAAAGAATAAATATTGAAAAAAATGTTTTCTGGAAAATACACTAAAAAATAAAAAAAAACTTCAAAAAATGATTTTAGGATTTTTATTTAAGATTTTTCATTTTTCTTAATGAGTCTTATAAATTTTCTTTATAAGTATATTATAAAAAAAAATAAAAAAATTTAAATTCTATCAAATAATAATTAAACAAAGTATACCTTTTTAAATGAATAAAATAAATTGTATATAAAAATAAACAATTTAAGTATATGTATACACACATATTAATAAAATGTAGAAATATACAACTAGTTTTTGTATATTATAATGAGTATAATTTATATAAATCATCATAGGAACACAAAATATGTGTTATTAAATAAATACGAAACTTAAAAAATTATTGTAACAAAAAAAAAAAAAAAAAAAAAAAAAAAAAGAAAAAGATATGCATATTCCATAAATAAAAAATATTTGATTTTTATTAAATATACAAATGTGTAAAAATAAAACAAATTAAAACAACAAATTAAAAAAAAAAAAAAAAAAAAAAGTCATTGAATAAAACTGAAATGAATAATATAATTTATGAATCTATTTATTTTTTAATTTAAACATAATAAAGTGAATTATTTTACGAATGTACACATTAACATAATATTTTTTAAATATGAGAAAAATTTAAATATAAATAACACGGAGTTATATTAGAGGGGCTCAAACTAAATTGTATAATCGCGTAAATAACACAATTTACAATTTATTTAAAATCACAATCACGAAAAATAAAATATAAAATTAATTTTATAGATATTATAAATAAAAGAATATTTACTTTTTAAAGAGAAACAATTAAATTTTATTCTATGTATAAATAATTTATTTATTTTTGTAAATAACAAAAAAGTTAATTCTATTAAAGCTTAATACCATGTTTTTTTCTCAGGATCCCAAAATACATGTTGAGATGGGTAAGTTGGTGCAGGATACTGTGGTAATAAGGTAACTGGACAAACAGGAATAATTTTTCTTGTGTATTCAGTTCTATAACTACTTTCTCCTTCGAATGCTAGTGGTTTCACTAATTTAACTTCTGGTTTTGGTGGTAAAGTTGGTAATGGTTTAGGTCCAAATTCACTTCTATAATTACTTTCACCTTCAAATGGTAATGATTTGGGTGGTTTTTGTTCTACTCTTGGTGGTAAAACAGGTAATGGTTTTGGTCCAAATTCACTTCTATAGTTACTTTCACCTTCAAATGGTAATGATTTGGGTGGTTTTTGTTCTACTCTTGGTGGTAAAACAGGTAATGGTTTTGGTCCAAATTCACTTCTATAATTGCTTTCACCTTCGAAAGGAAGTGATTTAATTAATTTAGTTTCTGATCTTGGTGGCAAAGGTGGTAATGGCTTGGGACCAAATTCTATTCTGTAATTACTTTCACCTTCAAATGGTAATGATTTGGGTGGTTTTTGTTCTACTCTTGGTGGTAAAACAGGTAATGGTTTTGGTCCAAATTCACTTCTATAGTTACTTTCACCTTCAAATGGTAATGATTTAACTAATTTAGTTTCTACTTTTGGTGGTAAAGCAGGTAAAGGTTTTGGTCCAAATTCACTTCTATAGTTACTTTCACCTTCAAATGGTAATGATTTGGGTAATTTCTGTTCTACCCTCGGTGGTAAAGCAGGTAAAGGTTTTGGACCAAATTCACTTCTATAATTGCTTTCTCCTTCAAATGGTAAAGACTTTGGTGGTTTTTGTTCTACTCTCGGTGGTAAAATAGGTAAAGGTTTTGGACCAAATTCACTCCTATAATTACTTTCTCCTTCAAATGGTAAAGATTTGGGTGGTTTTTGTTCTACTCTTGGTGGTAAAACAGGTAATGGTTTTGGTCCAAATTCACTTCTATAGTTACTTTCACCTTCAAATGGTTGTGGTTTTATTATTTTAGGACATTTATGAAAACCACATGTGCATATTTCATCTACACATAAACCAAGTTTCTTGCTAGGAGAATCTTTTCTTCTTTGTTCACTATTTCTACCTAAAGACAACTTTCTGTGTGCATAGGACCCTGGTTCATTTCTTATGTTATAGTCTTTTATATATTTTGAATAATTAGGATCTTTATTATTTTCATGTTCATCAACAAAAAAATTAAATTGTACCTTTGGTTTTTCTGCAACTATTTCCATTATTATTATTTTTCTTTTTAGTGTTTATCAAAAATAATTCAAAAAAATATAGGATAATAATTCCAATACAAAGTGGTCAATAATCACGTATATTAAAATATTTTATTAAAATAAGTTTACAAATAAGATTTAAAATAAAAAAAAAGAAAGAGAAAATTATATTGTCTTATGTTACAAAAAGCAAATTAATGTTTAAATGGTATTAAATTAACAGAAAATTTTTTTTTCATATATTTAATAATTTATAAAACAAAAAAAAAAAATAAAATAAAATGAAGAGCCATATTAATAATGAAATTAAAATAAAACCTTACCGTATTTATATATTACTATTGTAAATACATTTATTTCTTATAATATTTTTATAAAATACTTTAATGCATAAAAAATATATATATATATTTGTGAATGCTCCTTAACTAGTGAATTTCCTAAGAAAAAATATTAGTGTTAAAAATGGGCAACATACTTTATGCATTACATTTGTAAATAATTATACTTATTTTTTCCTAAATATTTGCGTGCACTCATCTATATGTTGTGTGTGTATACATTTATTATAAAAAAAAAAAAATAAGTAAATAATAAATAAGGAAACAAATTAAAAAATATGTAAAATTTAAATTGTGTTCATCTAAAATATTGACTTGTTAATAAAAAAAAAAAAAAAAATTTGCAAGTTAAATAAAATTTTCCATTTTCTTCATGAATAATATATAACATTTCCAGTGTTACAAAATTACAGGCATTTAGTTAAAACATATAGATACCATAACTAATGAATTTTTTTTTATTTATATTAATAATGTTAAAACTGGGATCCAATATGTGTGGCCACTTTTTTTTTTTTATTTTCCTCTCGACCTTTATTATTTTAATATAAAATAATAGAATTATTGTTTCAAAGAATATTTAGTGCAAATGTACAAAAAATCAGAATTTTTTCCAGTTTTTTTTCTTTTTTTACATAATTAGCTTTATAATTGATAAGGTACAAATTTTTTTTTTTTTTTAATTAGCTTTTTAAGGCACACACTTTTTATTTTTTTCATATTTTACAACATAAAAATGAAATTAATGTAGTTTGATACTAATTTCATAATATTATAAAAAAAATTTGCATACTTTTGAATAATTTTGTATTTTAAATTGAAACATAATATCTTTTTTCTAAAATATGAAATCCCCTTAAACGCTTTTGCATGGAAAAATAGTTAATTCATAGAGACATTCACATTAGAAACTTCATTTATCATATTTTTTTTACCATTTCAAATTATTAATATTAAATGTTCGCAATTAATTTATATGAGTAAATAGATTTAAAATTGGGATTATTATTTTTCCTGCTTTCTTATACTAATAATTTAAATATATTGATTTGTGATATAAAACTTTTCTTTTAGTTAGAAAAGTTTATGTATGTCTTTTTATATATAAAAAATATATATAATGTTTATTTAATTTATGAATTTTCCCAAAATGAGAGTAAAATTATAATTTTTTATTCTCCCTTTGAATTTTATCAAGAAATTATTTTTTAATTGATAAAGTATTTTAATTTTGTAAAAATGAAAACATCTGTTTAAACTATAGTTATTATAAATACTTTTATTAAATGTTCCTCCTATATAAATGAATGTATTCCTAAAAAACTAAATAAAAAATATATTTTATTTATTTCTCTCTAAAAATACAACTGTTTTTAAAAGAATTGTTTTTCATGAAAATTTTTTTTTAATTTACAAATGTATCACACAAAAAAAAAAAAAAAAAAAAAAAAAAAAAGNCAATTTAGTTTAACAATAAAAGATAAAAAAATATAAAATTTATTACTTGAAATTTAAAAAAACAATTATATTATTATATATACAAATAACTTTTATTAATAATTAATTCGACAATTTTGTAAAAAAAAAAAAAAAAAATAAATGTGCTACGTTTTATAAAAACAAAATCTACGATTAAAAAATAAAATAAGAATTAATTATATAAAAATTAATTTTTGTATAATATTTTTTTAAGAAATAATTCCCTATTATTATTCTGTAGATTTAACATACATGTACATATATAAATTATTCATTCAAAATAAAGGTGTTTTAACAATTCATTTAGTATTCTTTATTTTTATACGGTACTGATCTGCTATCATATGTTGTTCTCTTATTCATCCCAATTGAATTTTTCATGTTTTTAAAGGAATCACTTCTAAAATTATTTCTCTCATTATAATTTTCATTATTATTATTATTATGATAATTTATACTTGGGTTATGATAGTTATTTGAAAAAGATTTTTCATTTTTATTCTTTATATAATTATTGTTATGAGCATTGTATGAAATTTTATATGAAGATTCATAGTTTGCACCACTGTCTTTATAATATGAATTTTTTTGATTCATATAATTGTGATAATTATTATCTTTTTTATTATCATGCATATAATTATAACTGTTTTTTGGTAGTTTGTATGTGTTTGAATTTTTATAAGAACATGCCGGAAAATTCTCGTTATAATTTAAATTTTGATAATTTTGATTATGATAAGAATAGTTTTTTTGAGTGTTCATATATGGAGTAGAATTTATATTATGATGATTATACATATGTTCCTTATTCTTATTATAATTATGAGTATTGTTTGCCATATTCTCGTTTAAATAATTATTTGAATTATAATACTTGTAGTTTATAACTGTACTTTTGGAATTATTCATTTTTGAAAAGGAATATATTTGGGGATGATTAGCACTTAAACTATTTAAAATCATTCTTTTAGCAGCTGGTGCATTAAATCTAAGTTTCCTTTCTTCATTATTTATGTCAAGTACATTTAAAACCTTTTTTGGATTAATATGATTCGGTAAAAGTGAAGATGTGTGTTTTTTAAATTCTGGTTGTATATAGAAAGCACTATTACAGGTTGTAGAAAAATTTGAGGAAAATCTAAATATCTCTTTAAGAATATTTACATCGCTATCTTCATGTTTGCAGTTCAAATAACCAAATAAATTAACATCTTTCTTAGTATTTATTGGAACTACTATATTCATATTTTTAAAAAAATCGTCGTATGTACTATTTTGTATTTTTTTTTTTTGTTTTTTATCTACTTCCTCATTACTCTTTTTAATATTGTTCTCCAAATCCTTTACTTTTTCCCCCTCTAGTTTCCCTTTTTCTTTTACTTCTTTTAAATATTTTTTTATTGATTTTGTAATTTGCTTGGATAAAGGGTGTGTGGAATCCATATATATTTTATTTAATCCTCTTCTATTCCTTTTTTTTTCTTCGTCTGTTAATAAATCATGAAGTGGCCTAGCATGTTTAATTATTCTATCTTTATCAACAAATGGAAGCAAAATAACCCATTGATATTTATACTTTTTCCCATTTTCTTCTTCTTTAAAAGTTTTTGGATAAAAATCAATAATAGGTGATTCGTGATGAAGCATCAAATGCCTGTAAATTTTTGGTAGGCAATGGCTAGAATTTGATGGTAAAACACAAAGTAATTGTTCGAAAGGTAATAGAGGTTCGTCTTTTTCAAAATTAAAACTTATATCGTCAATAATTAAATCGGATGATAGGGGAGCGTAATAATATGGATAATACCAATGCCACATAGGACATGATTGAAAATAATAAGCTAATACCCAAGCTAATCCTTCAATATATTTATAAACAACATTTTTAACAAATTCATCTATATAATCAGTTTCATCTAAATGAAATTTAGACTTATAATATTTTATTCTTATAACTTCAGGGTTTTCATCACAACCTAATTCCACATCATCTTTTGGATTTTCGGTTTCATTAGCCTTTTTTATAGCTTCTTTTAATAATAAATTAAATTCATTAATATCATCTAATTTTTTATTTTCATTATAGTCCATGTTACATATTTTATTTTCATTAGGATTGGAGACAGTTTTCATTTTAGCATTATATTCATTATTGTTTTCTATCTTATCACTTTTAAAATAAATATCATTGCTATTATTATTTCCATCTATTTTATTTCCTGAATCAATGTTTTCTTTTGTATCATTTATACTGCAATTTATAGTTTGTTCATTTACTATCTGTTCAGAAAAATTGGATGCAGGTCGAACAAGAAAATTTATACTCTTTTCCCCTTTTTTATCTTTGTATCTAATATTTCTTATTGGCTGCATGCTTTGAATTTTTGATTCATATAGCATTTTTTTCGAAATAGTTTTTTCTGTTGAGGGTTGTTCTAAAGAATTTTGTTCTAAATTATGTTCCTTGGTATAACTAGAAATATTATTTGTGTTGATACAATTATTTTCATCGGAGTTAATATTTGTCCTACTGCTTATAGAATTCCTATTTTGTTCTTCTTCAATACATTTTGCTCTTTTTAATGAATCTTTTTGTAATTCCCTTTTTTCTCTTTTTTTTTTGAAGTCATACTGAGAAATAAATGTTTCTCTTTCAACTTCAGCAATAAAAGATACATATTTAAAAAATGATTTTAAATTTAAAGTACCTTCATTAATTAAATAGTCTCCTAATGTGGGAAGAACTTTTTGATATAATAAAATTAGTTGATCAATGCTTCCTCCTGCTATAGATATTGATGGCAAATGTGGAAGAAAATCATTTCCACAAAAAAAACAAATGAATATAAAATCATCAATACATCTTTCCATATTAAATGAAGAATCAAAAAATAAATCTTTCGATAAATATTCTCTTAGTATAGTTAAATCTAATATTTGTAACTCATTCCAATTTTGATAATTAAGTGAAGCGGTATTACCTAAATTTACATTGGCATAGTTAGGATCGTTATATTTATTATGTGTATTTTTTATAGGATTTATAATTTTACTACAAAAATATGCATCTTCTTTATTTTTTATCATTCCTACATATTCCTTCTTTTTTTCTTTTTCTTCACCTTTTGGGTCCAAATCAATAATTTCTCTCAAAATGTAAAAGTATGGCTCGTGACTAGCTAATGAAAGCATAATCAAATCAGCATCCATTCCATGTATAACATGTCTAGTGTTAGGATCATATCCTTTTTGTGCTCTTTGAGATTTAATAAAATTAAAAATTTTATGTTCTCCTTCCCCACAAACATTAGAATCAGAAAATATTACAGCAATTTTTTTCCATTTTTCATCATTTGTAATTTTATGCTCAATGAAATACTTTAATGCAATAGACAATTCATGCATAAATTGAGTCCCTGGGGTTATTACGTTACTATCCCAATAAGAAGACTCTTCTGGAACCATTCTATTTTCTGCGATAAATTTTTCTTTTAATTCTATATATGCTTTTCTTTCAATTTCTGAACATAAAATTGATTTGAATCTCCTGCTTCTTTGCTGATTCATTTTTGCTTTGGGAGCAACACCATCAATTGCCATATATAAAAGATTTTTTGGTTCAATAATATCAAACAGTCTTTCCACATATAGAAACACATTAAGAAATATTTCTTCATTACTTTTTGCACTTTTATTATTGTTATTGTGGGAGCATAAATGAATAATACCATTCATATCCAAATATAAATTATCGTAATATCCATTAATATTATCTGAACAATGTGATTCATCTGTATTATTAACATAATCTCCCAAATCGTGAACTTTAAAAAATTCACCGTTCTCCTCTATTTTCGTTCTTCTTAAATATACATCGCTATCTCTTGATTCATAAACAGATTTAACAATTTTTGGATACCTAGTAATCAACCATCTATAGAAAGTTGGAACTCCCATATTTTATCTTTTTTTACACCTCTTTTTTGTTGAATATTTTTAACTTTAAATTTTATATATATATTTTGATGAAATCTTCTCTTTATATGTTTTTATTAAAAACTTTTTATATTTTTCTACAAACCCTTTTTTAAAAGCTTTCTTAATATGGTAAGCTTTTCAGAACGATATATATATATATATATATATATATATTTTTTTTTTTTTTTTTTTTTTTTTTTTTTTTTTTTTTTTTTTTTTTTTTTTTTTTTGTAACTGTGTTGATGCAACTTTTTATTTTGATTAAATAGTGATTAAAAAAAATTAACCTTTTTCAAATATTTATGAATTTTTTTGAAGTTATTTTTCTTTATTTAAAAATATTACATATATGTTCGTATGTATATATATATCTAAATAATTTTTGTATACTTAAGATGTATTTTGTTTTTCTTTTTATAGTTCCATTTTTGTTAATATTGAAATATTTATACAATAAATTATTTACTTATTACATTAATGTGCCACATTTATATACATGTATATATATACATGTTCTTGAGAATATATTAATAGATATTAAAACTAAAAATAAAAAAAAAAATAAAATAAAATAAAATAAAAATTATATGTTAAAATATTTTATAATATGATATTTTTAAAATTAATTTTTTTTAGATATTAATGTATTGTTTGTAATAAAGAATATAAAAATAGCTTCCAAATTATATATATATTAATGTATATAAAATAAAAATAACTCTTACAAACTTTTTGTTAAAAATATAATTATAAATCATATAGTTATAAAATGATATGTATAAAAAATAAGTTATTCCTATGAAATTTTCATTACTTTTTTTATCATAATTTTTTCTTCAAGAATTAAGAAACATCAGTAAGAATATTTATGTCTGCTGATAATGCTATGGGATTCTTTTGTTAAACAATTTCGTCCAATAAAATAAAATCTTTACAAATTTACTTTTTATATTATGTTTTAATGTTATTGATAAATTTTATTATGGTATGCTGAATACATTTTTCTTTTTTATTATTGATAAAATGTATTTAGTTTGTTTAAAAAAAGAGTTTAAATATATTTAATTAATAGTTTATATAAAAAAAAATTTTTCATTTTTTTTTACTAAAATTTAATATAACTTATCACTTAATTTGTCAAAAGTATGTATTTTTTTTCTTAAGAAAAAAATTATTATAAAGCAAATATATTTTTATTTGAATTTTATTTAATTTTTCTTATTTTATTCTATTCTATCTTATTTATATAATCCTTGTTTTATTTTATTTTATTTAATTTTTTTTTTTTTTTTTATTCTTAAAAATTTTATAAAAAAAATTCAATTTTTTTTTTTTTTTTTATATATATATATTTACATAATTGTTCAAAGATACGCATAATTAAAAAAAATTATTATAGAAAATAAAATATTTCAAAAAAAAAAAAAAATAAAAAATTAAAGAGTTTTTATAAATTTTTTTTTAATCTGAATCGTAAGAAAATTTGTATATTCTAATAATCCGAGGAAGTAAAAAAAAAAAAAAAATATAGTTTTCATGCAGAAATAATATTATACGTTTTTAGTTGTTAAAATAGATAACATACTATTATATATAAAAATATTTAACAATATAAAATTTTTTTGTATATCATTTTTCTATTCTTTATATGTAGTAATGAATATTGAAAAAGCTGAAGTAAACTCCAAATTAATAGAGCTTTCTAAGCAAAATTTAGAAAATGTAAAATTTCTATTTAGGTTTATATAATTATTTTCTTTTTGATTCATTCAATTCTTACATATTTTTTTTTTTATAATTTTTATAGAAAACTAAAAAAGAATTAGAACTCAAGCAAAAACATGAGTAGGAAATATTTTAATAAAATAAATTTTAAGCAAATTTTTATATAAAATTTAAATATATAAATAATACATATTTTTTAATTTTATAAAAATAGTGAACTATTGGAACAAAGAAGAATTATTTTAAAATCGTTGCTAACTCCAGAGGCTCATGCGAGATGTATCAATATATATATAAAAAAAAAAAAAAAAAAAAAAATACATATACATAACATAATAATATAATTAATTTCTTTTTTTTTTTTTTTTTTTTTTGTTATAGTATCCAGGATTGCTATTGTAAAAGAAGACAAAGCAAGAAAAATAGAAGATATAATTATAAGAGTAATTAAAAAATGAAAAATAAAAGTTTTATATTTTTTATTATTACTGTAAAATACAACTAAAATTACATGTGTATGCTAATAATATGAAAATTATTAAACAAATATTTTAATAACTTAAATTATATTATAAAACACTTGTAGAAAAAACACATAATTGAAACATTTTAAATTAATTTATTTGTTTTCTCTTTTTTGTAGAATAGTCAAATGGGCCTATTACATAAAAAAATTGATGACGATCAATTAATTAAAATTATAGAGGTTTGTACAACTAGTGTATTAAAAAAAAGATTAATTAAAAAAAAATCCTAATTTATTTTTTATTTTTTTTTTTTTTAGCAAATTAGTGAAAAAATTTATAAGAAAGAGCCTGTAATCGAAGTATGTTGCTAAAAATAATTTAAGACAGAATAAAGAATAATAAATAATTTTAAGAACATAATTATTTGACTAATTCTTATACTTCTAATAATTTAACAATAATACAATATATATATATATATTTATATTCATTTTTTTATTTATCTATTTATTTTATTAATAGATTAGAAGAAGGAAACAATTTGATGATGATGATGATTTTAATGAAGAAGATTATATTTAAAACACAAATTAAAGAAACAATAAAAAAAATATAACAAGAGATAAATAATACAAAAAATAAATAATTTAGATAAAACAATTTATTTTAATTCCAAGATATGAAAATAGAATATAATATATATATATATATATTGAATATAAATTATGCTTTTTTTTTTTTTTTTTTTTTTTTTTTCTTTTTTGTTATATTTTATAAAGACAAAAAATTTCCTTAAAAGTCTTAATTTTTTGAGAATTTTATTTTTTTTCTTTTTGATAAGAATAAACTTTTAATTCATATACAATTTTTTTAAATATTTCATAAAAAAAATATTATTCTAATTCATTTTTATAAATGGCTTTTTTTTTTTTACTAGTTATGAGGAAATTAAATTTATGTTTAACACTATTCAACATATAGATTTAAAAAAAAAAAAAATCTAGGTGACTTAAAAATCATAATTGCTACACTTTTTTTTTTTCTTTTCATTATGCAACTAAATAATTTTAATTAAATTTTGTGTAAAATTTGTGTATTTCTTTTTTAAAATTTATTTTACAATTTTTCTTATAAAATAATATTTTAAGTGGAACAAAAAATTAATAAATAGCTATATACACACATACATTTATATGGACACCTATTGATTTTATTTTGTGTAATTTGTTTTCTTTGATTTTTATAAAGTTTTATGATGAAAATTACAAATTTGTTTTTAATTTTAATTCATTTATCATTTTTCAAAACAATAAATAGTAATAAAAATAATATTCCTTATTCTATTTGTCATAAAAATGATGTATATTTAGGGGATGATTTTTATTTTCTTAAAAATAAGAAATATGTTTTGTACGATGTAAATATAGGTGAAGGCTTTAATGTATAGTTAAAAAGACAAAAATAAGCAAATATTTATATATATATAACAAATAATAAAAAACAGTGAAAATTTTTTTTATGAATGATAATTTTTCCTTGAATTGTTGTAAATTAACTTTTCTGGTTTTTTTTTTTTTTTTTTTTTTTTTTTTATTATAGCTACAAAAAGAAGTTTTATACAGAATATCATTAGTTGTATATTATTTAAATAAAAAAGACAAAAATAATATATATTATTTAGTTTTGCCACCTTGGTGTTATTTAGCTCATTGGAACAATAAAAAACATAAAAAAATCAAGTGGAATTTTTTTTTTAACTTAAAAGTTATTCAAAATGTAATACCTGTAATAGAATTTCCAGAATATAGCAAAATATATGGAAGTAATACTGATTTTATTATATCATTTAAATTTAGATTCAGTAATATTCTACCAAATAAAGGAAGTTTTGATGTTTTAAGTTTTGACAAATGCCCTATAGAAGGTTTTAATTTTAAGAATATTTGTAAAAAGTGTGAAAATAAATATTCAGTTACTTATTCAGGAAACTGCACAAATATTAAGGCTAAAAATTGTGAATGCTATGAATACAATTTTATTACTAGTTTTTTTGCAAGTAATATTATTTATAATTTATTCTTTTATGATGTAGATTCTATTTTAATAAAACAAGGATCCAGCATACTAGTTCCCTTTGTTAATGAGTTGTTTGAAAATAATCTTGAAGATATCTTGTTATTCAGTGAAGATTTGATAGAAGAAGGAAATAATTATGTAAAAAAAATATTAAAAACAACTAACTATTTAAGTTCTCATTTAAGATATACAGATTTTAGAAAAATTTCTTATTATGATGTTCCACCAATTAATATTTCTATTTTTAAACTCTTATATATTATGTTTATGAATGAGAATGAGAAAATTTTTATTTCTACTGATGAAAAAAAAGAAGTTCAAAAAATTGTTAATCAAGAATTTAATGAGTTTAAAAATTATTTTTATTTTTATGAAAATGAAAATTATCATGAAGGAGAAGTTGCTATAATTGATCAATGGATATGTATTAAATCAAAAATTTTTGTTGGCAACATTTTTTCAAGGTATAGTCTACATATAAAATGGGAAAGATATTTAATGAATACATACGAAAAAAAAAACTTAGATTTGTGTGGGTATAATATTAATAATGATGAAAAATTAAGAAAAAATTATAAAAATATTAAAGATATATATAATAAAAAAGCTTTAATAAAGCTGAAACATATATATGATAATTACTCAGAAAAAGATAAAAAATATTTAAACACTATATGTTTAGGTTTTAATTCCCATTTTCCTAAAAATACTAGTATATATAGACTAAAATATATTAACCATTTATAATATATATATATATACAAAACAGATAGAACATATAAATTTATATATATATGTATATATATTAAAAATATATCATTTTAACTTTTTCATAAAATATAAAAATATTAATTATATAATTAATTGATAAATATTAATTCATTTTTTTAAAAAATTTAAAAAAGCTCTAAAAAAATGTTTTTTCGTAATTTAAAAGAAAAATATTTAAAATTAACTTCTTAATATTTTTGTATACATTTTGTTCATAATTGTTTTTCCATTGTCAAAAAGAAAAAAAGACTTTTATAAAAATGAAAAAATATAGAATAAAAGAATTAGATAAAATTAATGAATTTTATTTATTATTAAGAAAATATATTACCATAATAATAATAACTTCTAACAAAAATATATCGTAAAATATTATTAAAACTGAAAGTAAAAGAGTAATAAAAAAAAATAGATATAGTAATAGAAATAAAGTAAATATTTATTTGTAACTAATGTAAAGAAAAGTTCACATTTATAATAATACTAAAAAGGATAAATTATTTCAATTTTTTAATAATTAGAAAAAAAAAAAAGGTATGAAATAAGACAAGATTTTTAAGAATTTTTTTTTTAAAATACTATATATTTATATCTTAAAAGTAAATTATAATTAATTTACGTCAGTTTTTATATTCATAAGCCACTATATATTTTTTATTATTACCTATTTTTTTTATTTTTTTTTTTTTCAATTAATTATAATTAATATTTATTCTATTATTTATATATTTTCATTGTCTTTTTTTGGAAATTTAAGCTGGTTACTGAAGAGGAATATTTATCATTTATAAAAATTTTTAAATAATATTTATAACTTTAATTTTCATCATATTAATTAATAGAGAAGTATTTTTCAAAATTATTCATCTTGTGTTTTATTATTGTACTCTCATTTTTAAAAGAATTATTTTTATAAACATTTTCAAAATTAGTTACATTAGATAAATTCTCATGTTCATTTATTTTATTATTCTTATTTTTATCATTATGTAATTTTGAAGAATTATTACTATAATGTACATTCTGATTATCATCTTCACATCTTTTTTGCTCATGGATATTTTCTGTACTAGCTATTTTTTTTTGTAAATTTTGGCTACATGTCATTTTTTCGTTGTCTTCAATGTGTAAAATACCTTTATTTTTTGAATCAAATATATCTTTTACAATTTCGGAAAAAATAAAGTTTTCATATATTTCATTCATAATATGATCACAGTAATATATTGATTCATACTTACATAATGTATATATTTGTCTAAGAAAAAAATAAATAGTATTTAATTTGCATAAAAATAATGTATACATGAAGAAAAAAAAATTAATTAAAAATATGAATAATATGTAGTAAATTCCTTTATAATTAAATATATTTAATAAATGTAGCTTAGATAATTCAAAAGATGAAGCTAAAGGAATTATATTATTATAGTAATATACTGAAATTAATACATAAAAATTTAATATTAAGTTAATAAACAAATTAATTAAATATGGGGAAAAATAAAAAAAAAATTTTATATAATTTATTTTTGTTTGACATTTCTGTAGCATTAATGAATGAATATAATTATATTTATATTTCATATGTACATTTATATCGTAAATATTAGAATAAATAGAATTTCCATAAATATTATAAATACTTTTTCTATTATCATTAGAATATTTGTTCATTTTTTCATTAGTTGTGTAATTTAATTTTTTATAAAAATCCTCATTTCTAATATTTATTACTGTTGAATATTTCTTATTCATTATTTTTTCATTTTTTTTATAAATATTATTTGATTCATCTGAATAAATGCCCTTAAACATATTAGGAATATCCTTTTCTTTTATATATGTTTCATAACTTTGGTTTGTATATACATCTTCATATTCACAGTTTTCTTTATTTATATATTTAAATATATTAGTAAATTTATTAAATACATTATCGGCATATAACAATATAATATTGTCAAAGTTGTTATCTAAATTATAAAATAGCTTCTTGCATCCTTCAATTAATATTTCAGTATTCCTATATATTTCTTTGTTTTTTTCTTTTATATAAGTATTATATAGTGATTGTATAATAATTATACACATAACATTAATATGATGTATTAAAATTTTATAGGAACAAAATAACATATAAATATTTAGAATGCTATAAGTAAGAACATAAAACGTAAAAAAAACGTGGAAATTTATTTCATAGAAAAAGTAATTATTGTAACCAATAGGAATTTTAATTAATGTTTGTAATCTAAATAATAAAAATATGTTTAAGAATAAGAAAAATAAATATACTAAGAAAAATAAGTTCCTTTTTCTATTTGTATATATAAAAAACAAATTACCTTTTTGCTTCCTTTCATATTTAACTATATATTTTAAATTATTGTATACTTCGTAAAAATGAATATAATTAGAAAAGGGATAGTAATCAAATAAATTATTTTTTAAGTTATATAATTCATTAAGAAGAAGTTCCTTATTAATGTTTAATTCTTCATTATATATATTTTTTTTTTCTTTTTCGTTATCACTAAATTTTTTACTTTTTTCATTGTATTTTTTTTCCATATTATTTTGAATTTTTTTTGCATCATTTTTTGAGTTGTTAAGAAGAACGTCCATTTTTCAATTGTGACTTATTTTTTTTTTTTTTTTTTCAATTTCTCTTTTTAATTTTTTTTGTTTTTATAAAAAGCTTCTGTGTATATTTGTTCTTTCTTTTTTTGTCTTTTATTTTCTTTCCATCTTTTAATTCTTTATTGGTTTTGCTCTTTATTTTTATTTTTTTTTTTATACAGAAATAGAAAAAAAAAAAAAAGTAGCTTAATTATGTTTGTTTTATACTCAAAATAAAAGACTTGTATTTATTTAATTTATTATATTTTTTTATTCTTATTTCCAATAATAAGAATATTAATTATGTAAGTTCTTGAAAATTAGGAAATAAAAACATAGCACGTAACACTATAAAATAAATATTGATGCAAATGTGCGAAAAAATTAAGTGGATTTTTTTTTTTTTTTTTAAATTTAAAAGAAAATATATAAAAGTAAAAATTAACTTTTTAAAAAAAAATAATAAAACAAGTATATTAGTTAAAACTGTATTTTGTTTTTATAAAAAAGTAGGCGATTTTGTTGTATGTTTTTCACATGCTTAACTATGTTATGTATAAATATATATACTATATATATATATATATATATATATATATATATTTTTAAATATAAAAGGTGTGTAAAAAAAAAATAAAAAAAAAAAAGAATTACATAAAAAATTAAATAATTATTGCATAAAGCCTACATTTGCGACCAAAAAAATGTAAAAAAATAAATTAGACAATTTTTATTTTTAAATAAAGTTAAGAAATAATTGCAATTGTATTGATTTGTTAAAAGAGTTGTACACTTATTTCATAACTTCACATTATTAAAAGAATTATATACTTCATTTTAATATTGAAAGAGGAAATATTATTTTTATAAATTTTAGCAAATACGTAAAGTCAAAGTTAATCATTATTTTATTTTTTTTTTTCTCTTATAACCACACACCTATCATTAAAAATAAATTGCAATGATTTTTAATATTCTCATTAGAATAATAAGCATCATATAATTATATCAACCAAATATAATAAAAAGAAACACTTAAAAAAATGTACCTTTAATTTTTTAATAAATTATAAAAATATAATTAATTCTAAAAATGTCAAAGTTGCAAATTAATTATTTTACTTTTCCACATCTTTTTTTCTGATTTTTCTTTTTATTTTTGTTAAAAAATTTTAAAAATTAATTTATATAATGAAATTCTGAAAAGATAAACATATTTTTCAATAAAAAGGTAGTAAAATTAGAGAGTAAACTAAATAAGAAATAAATAATATTTTTAATAAAAAGTATAGAAATGTATTGATTAAAATACATTTTACTTTAAAATATTTTAGACCCAATATATAAATAATTTTTATGTATATACATTATATTTTAGATAAAATTTATACATTGCAGTATTTACACTTGTATATGAAGTCTAAAAATGTAATAATAATTAATTCATAAAAAATCATATGAATAAATATAAATTGCAATTTTATGTTATTTCTAATTAATACACATATAACCACATTAATGTTTTAGTATCATCTTTATTTCCATTAAAAAGATGTTAAATATTTTTATAAAAATAAAATAACGAAAAAGAGAAAAAAAAATATAAACAAATAAAAAAAATAAAAAGCTATGCTTTCATTAATTAAATTTTATCTACAATTTTTTATTATATATTATTTAATAATCTATACACTTGTATATATATACCAAAATTAAAAATTTGATACATAATAAACTAAAATATTTAAAAAATTTATTCCTTTAAAAAAAAAAAAAAAAAAAAATATGTCCAAAATATCAAATTTTATAAAAAAATATAATGGTAAGGAAAATGAAAAAATAACAGAAAAAGATTTAAATGATAATTTAGAAATAGATATATTCAGTTTATTAAATGAAGATAGTTCCTATTTATCTGAAAGCAGTGATGATAGTTATATTGAAAAAGGTTTAAATAATTCCATTTCGTTCAATAACTGCAATTTAACAACTTATGAAAAAAGTGTAAATAACAAAACAAATGTATTTGAAACAAAGGAAAGCATCGTTAATTACTCAAATGAAATAAACGAACATTGTAATAATAATTTAAATGAAGTATGTGATAGTAATAGTTATTCTACAAATGAAAGAAATAAAAATTATGATTACTCAAACGAAAAAATTAAGTATTTGAATTCCCCACATGAAATAAATAAGTATGATAATTCAAATAAAATAAATGAACAAGTCATTGATAATTCGAGTAAAGCGAATATAAGTAATATAATTTTATCAAAAAAATCTCACATATTTCATAGTATTAAAATATTAATTCCCAAATTTAATGAAATAGGTAAGTTGAATGATTCTGATAAAAAATTATGTTTAAATTTAAATGATGATTTCTCGTCTAAAAATATTAAAAGAGAAAATGAAAAAGATGATACTGATCATGACAAATATATGAAAAATATTATTGATGGTTCAAATGATAAATATGAAAATAATGAGAAAACTGATGAATTATTATATATTAATAATAAAAATATATATAATTTTAAGTCTTTTGAGAAAATAGAAAAAGATATGAAGGAAGAAATAAAAGAGGAAAACATTTTAAACAATATATATATAAATTTTATAACATACGAAAATAAAATAAAAAAGATTGAAAAAAAAAGAAAGAAAAATATGGTAAGTAGCAAAAATGATATATTATTTGTTCAAAACAAAGTGCAAAGAGATATTAACATTCAAAAATATAATTCTATATCAGAATTATACAATGATATTATAGAAAGCATAAATTATTTTAACGAATTAAAAGTCAGAAAGGCTTATTACTGTTTAAGAGAATCTTTTATAAAGTACTATTGTGATAAGAAGTTGAAAAGTTTTATAGAAAATGTTTTTATCAGTGAAATATTATATAGATACAAAATTATTAGAAAAATAGAAGTAATATTTAATTTAGATGTAAAAAAAACATGTGAAGATTTTATAAATTATTCAGTAATTTCAAAAAGGGTATATAGAAAATTAGCGTTTGATTATTTAATAGATATAAAAGATGTTAATGGAAAAGTGTGCTCTATGAAATGTATAAAGTGTTTAAGTAAGCATAATAATAATATCAAGAACATTAAATTGGCATCTAATGAAATTATGGAAAATCCATTTTTAGAAAATGCTAACTCCAATAAAAGTTTTGAAAAATTCACAACAGTAAGTAGTGAAACATTCAGTGAAAATGAAAATAAGAAAAAAGAAAAAAAAAAAAAAAAAAGAATATTAAAAAAAAAAAAAAAAAGATTAAATATTCCTAATAAATCTATATGCAATAAATATATTGATTTCACACATTTCAATGTAGCATTTGATGAAGACAATAATGAAGTTTATTATTTTATAACAAAAAAGGAGTTTAGCATTTCAAAAAAAATTGCTTCAACTAGTAATAATAAGAAAAATACATATAATGAAAATAGAAAAGAACAAGAAAATAATGATGATGAAGGTAAAATTAATTTAAATAAATTTTTACTTAAAAATAAAAAATGCTGTGATCAAAATGAAACATTAGATAATAAAATAATATATCAAAATGAAGAAAAAAGTGACATAAATACAGTTATTTATTTTTATGTTAATTTATCAATACCTTCAAATTTTATATACGTTATTGCTTCATTAACTGAAGTTACCTTATTTAAATCATGGATCCCTTTTTATTCTTTTCCATTTAAGTTATACGAAATAATTTATTATATTTATTACTATTATTTTTATTTTAATATATATTATATATATATTTTTTTTTAATAAAGATTTGGAATCAGTGAATGTAGAACATTAAAAGAAAGAGGATTACTTGATAAAATGGTTTACGCAAAAATAGCAATGCCATGGATTATAAAAGATAGGTTGAAACTCAATTCTTTTTTACATTATCTAATTTAATACTACTACATTATTTGTTTAAATTTTTCACATTAGTCTTTCATATTTTTTATAATATACTATGGGATTTCTTTTTTAATAGATATTTATTAGTGGATGTATGGATATGCGAAGATTTTCAATTCTCAAAAGGAATATTTTTATATGCTTCAAACATTCAGAAAAATTCTGAAATTGCTGTATTATCACATTGCATTATTTTACACATACTCGTTTATTAATATCATTCTATTCATTTTTATAATTATTTCCATATCCAATATATATATATATATATATATATATATATAATAAATATATATATTTTTTTTTTCAGAGAAATTTTGTTATTAATACAGATAATTGTACAGAAATAGAAATGAATGTTCACGCATTCATTTCTCCAAAAACATCTGAAGAAACTTTTGTAAAATGTTATGTTGAAATATCTCCTAATGCGAATCTTAACAAAACCTTCATTTCTTTTTTAACAAAGTAAATTATTTCTTTTTATATTTTAATTTTTCAAAGTTTTATATTTTACATATATTATTTAATGGTTTTTTACTTATTTACAGAGTTTTTATAAAAAGTTGTATCTCTCATTTTATTAAAATATGTAAGGAGTTTGAATTTAATGAAGAATATAATAATCAAATGAAGAAAAATAACTTTTTTTATGAAAAATTAAGAAGAGCAGCAGAAGAGAGTAAAATATATTAATAATAAAATTTTTTTATATTTATTCAGCAATCAAAATTTTGAAAATAAAATATTTTCATAAATTATATAAATAGGAATAACTTAATACTTTTATTATATTTTTTTAATAAAATTTTATTAAAGTATTCTTAAAATATTTTTAAAAACTAAAACTTCTTACATTATTTTCATTATTTTTAGTTTCTTATATGGTGTAGAACTTAAAATTTGACTATTTAATTTTATTACATTTTACATTTTTATTTCATTATATAGATTGAAACAAGCTTCTTCAAAAAAAAAAAAAAAAAAAAAGAAAAAAAAACTTTTTTTTAATCCTATTGTTTAATTTTATTTTTATATTTTAAAAATTATAAATTAAAAATATATTTTTTTTTTTTCAACAAATAAAAATATTTTAAAAATAATTTTAAATACATTTATATCTTTAAGTTTTTTAGTTTGTTTTTTATTATATCTATATTTACAGTTATATTTAAAACTCTTCTAAAAAATATTGAAAAAATGTTATAATTGAAACACTTAAAATTTTGAAATTTGAATTGGCATATATTATGAAGTTTTTTATTCATATATATCAATAAAATTATAAGAAATTAACATTGTATATATATAAGTTATAAAAAATTATTATGATAATATTAAAAAATTAGACTGTTTATAATTATATGTTTTTTCATCTCAGATAAATTAATCAAGTATTTTTAAATTTACCTAATATTTTCTTTAAATTTTAAATGGACAAAAGAAAATTTAAATTTTTTGTTGAATTAAATAGAAAATAAGAAATAAAAAATGAAAATTATATAAAAATCATGTTGTCTTTATTATTTTTTATTAAAATTAAAAAACATAAAAATTAAAACATTTGTATCTTATAATTTATTTCATATATATATATTATATATTTTTTTCTCTTTTTTTTGTATTTAGCATTTAAATTTAGTTGTTAACTATACTCCTTAAAAATAAAAGTACTACACATAATAAAATGATAAAAATATAAATTTTTAATTTGTATTTGTTTATCTTTTTATTTGCACACTTTTTTTTTTTGTAATGGAATATGTTTAAAATTTCCCCTTATGTACCATATATATATAAATGCTCAAAAATAAAAAATTTCAAAAAATTTTATAACGATTTAAAAAAAAAAAATTATATTGACTTAATTAATTTTTCTAAAGGGTTGTATCTTTACTTGTGTAATTTTCCTCATAAACAAGGTAATTATATAAATAAGACAATATATTTTTTTTTTTTTTTTTTTATGTTTACAAAAATGAAGTTATAATATTTACACATATAATATATATTTTAAATATTTTATAGATGAACTACTAATAAATTTTGCAAAAACCTTATTTAGAGATATAACAAAGAATGAATTAGTAAGATGTGACAAAAAGGATTTATGTCTTTTAATGCTTTTATATTTAAAATGTAAAAAGGTATGTAAGAAGTTTATTCTTGAAAAAAAAGAAATTAATTACATAAGTTCTGCTATTGAAGAAAATATAGATGATTTTGACGAAGAAGATCTTTCAACAGTTTTAACTTTTTTAAATTGCACAAATAATTATAAATTATATGCAGACAGTAATGCAGAAAAAAATAAAGTAAATACAAATATTACAAAGCAAATAATTGAAAGAAGTACTCATTATTTACATAATTTTAATCAAATGAAAAATTTGTGCATTTTATATAGTTATTTGTGTAGAGAAAATATAAGTGTTCAATTACATAATAAAATTTTAAAGCAAATTTTTAATGGTTTAGATAAATGTGAAGATACAGATTTAACTAACATAGTTTTTAATTTTTATTATATTAATAGTTTTTTTTTCAAAAATCTTTTAAATAAAATACTTGAATTTTTTATTTATTACCAAAATAAGTTAAAAATAAGTGATAAAAAAAAGTTATGTGAAATACAAAAAAATGTTAACACAATTTATAATTGCGATAAAAATGAAAATAAATATGAGAAAGATGGAAAATTAAATTTAATAAGTTTAAGGAAAAATAAATTAATTAACTACATTGAAAAATATCAGAATTTTAAAGAATTTATTGATGATAAATTTGTTATAAGTAAAAATGAGAGTAATTTGAAAGATAAAAATGTAAATATAACTTATAATAACTTATTTAATATTTATAACTGTAATATTTATGTATATAGATTTATAAATGAGTATAATAAAATATTTAAAAAACATAAAATAAAAAAACTTACTGATCAATGCAATTTTGTCGATAACGTTTGGAAAAATTGCAGATTATTGTATAATTTTTACATATATTTTAAATATTATATAAGTAGATCAAATTATCAAATAAATATAGATGATATAAAAAATGATGTAATAAATAATTATAATTTTAATATATATAATTCAAAATTATATAGTAATATTTTTACTCCTAATAATATTAAAATATTTATGTACATATATAGTAATGGAGTAAATTATCATTATCATTACTTTAATGGGTGTAGGGAATTTTTAAATAAATATATATTAGATATTCTCCAAACAAATTCAAAAAAGGAAAAAGAAAAAGAAAAAAACACAGTTAAGCTAATAAATAATGAACATATTAACATTTTGTTAAATATTTTAAATCAAATGAGTATATATAATGATAATATATATAATTTAATAATGGATAATTTTAAAATAAATCAAAATTATACCTTAAAGACAACTATATTATTGCTACAATTTTCTTTTTCTCATGGATGTAATCATGAATATTATATTCTTTACAAATATATAAACAAAATAATAGATGATCATATTATATTTGATAGTATTTTTTTTCCTAATAATTATGGATACTTATTTTTTCCACCTTTTATTTTTAATAACAAAATATACACACTATATATAAAAACATTTTTGAAATGTTGTACACATTATTTAAGAAAAAAAGAAAATATACAGAGTTACAAATTAAATGATGAACTATTTTATTTTGGTTTATGTTACAATATATTATTGTATCAAGAAAAAAACAAATTATTTTTAAAATTTTTTAAATTAGATGATTTACGAAAAATTTATGAATTTCTTCACAAATTTGAAAAAATAACAAAAAAAAATTCTTCGTATATAGATAACACGAAAACAAAAAAATTAAATATATATTATTTTTTTCTTCAAAAGAATAAAATTAAAAATTTATTAAAATATATTGAAATATCCTATAGTCAAATTGAAAATATGTATATAAATTTTTTTAATTTTTTTAATATTCATCAAAATTATTCTTATATATACATAAATTATGATAACCATTACTACATTCCATCTATAGTCCCATCAATAATAATTCAAAAGTAAAATATATTCTTTTTTTTTTTTTTTTTT